CAAAGTTTGCTTCATTACATAAATCCAACCAGGTTAAATATATGGCCCATACTGTACGTTTACATGAAGTAGCTTAACATCCTTTCCCTTCATAGAGTCTTGTGGTATCCGTTTCGTACTTGATTTGTTGTTGTTGTTAATTGTGAAGTCATGTCCGACCCATCGTGACCCCATGGACAACGTTCCTCCAGGTCTTCCTGTCCTCTACCATCTTCTGGAGTCCATTTAAGTTCACGCCTACTGCTTCAGTAACTCCATCCAGCCACCTCATTCTCTGTCGTCCCATTCTTCTATTGCCCTCAATCTTTCCCAGCATTAGGCCCTTCTCCAGTAAGTCCTTCCTTCTCATTAGGTGGCCAAAGTATTTGAATTTCAACTTTAGGATCTGCCCTTCTAAAGAGCAGTCGGGGTTGATCTCTTCTAGAACTGACTGGTTTGAACGCCTTGCAGTCCAAGGGACTCGCAGGAGTCTTCTCCAGCACCATAGTTCAAAGGCCTCAATTCTTTGTCGCTCAGCCTTTCTTATGGTCCAACTTTCACATCCATACATTGCAACTGGGAAAACCATGGCCTTGACTATACACACTTTTGTAGGCAGGGTGATGTCTCTGCTTTTTAGTATGCTGTGTAGATTTACCATAGCTTTCCTCCCCAGGAGCAAGCGTCTTTTAATTTCTTGGCTGCAGTCCCCATCTGAGGTGATCTTGGAGCCCAGGAAAATAAAATCTGTCACTACCTCCATTTCTTCCCCATCTATTTGCCAGGAATTGAGAGGGCCGGATGCCATGATTTTGGTTTTCTTAATGTTGAGTTTCAAGCCAACTTTTGCGCTCTCCTTCTTCACTCGCATCAAGAGGCTCTTTAGTTCCTCTTCATTTTCTGCCATTAGAGTGGTATCATCTGCATATCTTAGGTTGTTGATATTTCTCCCGGCAATCTTAATTCCAACTTTTGATTCATCTAGCCCTGCCTTTCTCATGATGTGCTCTGCATATAAGTTAAATAGGCAGGATTTGTACTTGATAGCCACCACTAAATGCAATTGACCAGTTATTCCAAGGTGTTTGTCTTCCTGTGCAGCAGGTGACATATTTTTCATTATCTAGAACTATTGTACAATCAACAGCCTTTTGAGGTTCGCCTGGTTTGTTTTGCTTTCTCATAATGGCTCATGTGGCCAAAGTGTGAATGTAACTGCTTTGCAGAAAATATACTGACCCTTACAATATGGGCACATAGTTGTAGGCATGCACAGTTCTGTAGACATTAGGCATCTGCTTTGTTGCCAGTTCCACATTATAAGATGACCTAATTGACTGCTGTAATTGTATTGTGAGGGAAGCAGATGATGGATTAGCTTTCATTCCACAACCATGGCTCCTTAAAATTAAATCATGATAAAATGGATATTTGTATACTTGAAATGGGCATGTGGCTGGGTTGCATTTTTATAAGGTAGAATGAAGTACAGGTAGTCCTTGACTTACGACCACAATTGAGCTCAACAATTGGGAGACATTTGTTAAGAGAGTTTTGCCCCATTTTTATGACCTTTCTTGCCACAGTTGTTAAGTGAATCACTGCAGTTGTTAAGTTAGTAACACAGTTGTTAAGTGAATCTGGCTTCCCCATTGCCTTTGCTTGACAGTGAATGTTGGCTCAGAGTGTTGAATAAAAACCTGATATAGTACACTATTTTGTGTGTGCAGTTTATTAATCAGAATTCTTTATGTATTAATTAGACTTGGATGAAGCTTAAGTCACATCATAAATCACATTATTGTGTGATTACAAATAGTTCTAAAGAGTTTACACTACTGGAAGCTTCTAACACTACACAGAATTCATATGGGATACTGCTAGTAAAATACATTTTAAAAGCATTTAAACCATTATTTTAGAAGTTCTTCTAAATCAGGTTTTATTTCAGTTTGCATTCTACAACTTTAAATTCCAATTTATCTAATTAAGTTTAACAGCAGTGTTTTCCATTCTAATAGCCAGGGCTTTTTTTTCTCATAGAACGCCCAGAACGGAGTTCCGGCACCTTTTTTGGATGGAACCTTGTAGGGTAGGCAAGGCGGGTTGTATGACATGTGTGAGTTCCAGCACCTTTTTTTTTTTTTAGAACAAAAAGCACTGCTAATAGCCATCTCCTGACTGCATGAACTTTCCTGCCTGAAAAATGAAATTAATCTGCAATAGTCTTAGTCCTATCACGGGTACAGCCATGAATTTAAATAATAACTGCTTTTGCTTGTCAAGATCACTCTACCTAAAGATTAAGCAGTTACAATCCTACATGATATATTTGTACAAGAATTAACTGTTATAGTTGATTTTGCATAGACATCATGAGTTGGCCTTACCTAAACAATTTGTCTCATTGTAATGCTAATACGGTTGTCTCTTTTGCTGATATTCAAGACAGTGTGCCTAATAATTTGCTAGTCTCCTCTGAAGATTATAAAGTCTGTTATCAAAGTAGGACTGTTTGATGCTTTCAGTGTTTGTTCTCTGTAAGCAAGATTATCCCCTCATAGTGTTGGAAAGTATACCTTTTATCCTTGTGTTACATCATCACACTTAATAGAGGCAAACCTTATTAAAAATTCCCAGCGCAGCAGTTTTTGCAAACAAGTACACAAGGTACCATGACAGCATTGTATATTTCTGTCTAATTTCCCTTACCTGCCTTCAACTGTACCCACTTTCTGAATCAGAATGTTTCTTCAGTTTACCTCTGATAAATTAATCCTAACAGATTATGTCAGCTTTACACCGTAAAACCAAATGGTGTAACTCAGACTCATCGAATCCCTTCTGTACATTTAAAGTAGGCATTACGGGGCTTATTTCCCTCTCCTTTGCCAGCTTCTGTTCTGAAATCTGATCACTGCTTCTGCTGGGAGGGGTGTGGGCACGAGGAGAGGGAAGGGCACAGCCACTGGGAGAAGAAGAGATGCAGCAACTGTGGAGCTAGCTAGCCGCCTTTAGACAAAGCAGTCTGCTGCAGCTTTTTCAAAGAGACACACACGCCTGCCTGGGAAAATACGTGGTCCTTTTGCCTGCTCCCGGAGTGGAAAAGAAATTGTCCAGCACAAGGAGAGACTCTCTGAATAAGACAGAGGCTGCTGCTTGAATCTGGGGAGTAAATCACCCTGTGGCCAGGCTTTATCAAAGAAGGGAGGCGGAAACCTTTCCTGAGTGCTGCATCCCTGGTGCTGCAGTATGCATTAAGAAGGCAGGCCAGCTCCCGGGCGCTCATTAACATTGCTTAACAGAGGATCTTCTCTGCAGGCCAGTGCAGCAGGATTTCGAACCCTTTCCAATTGTTCAGAGTCTAACCAGCCTTGCATTGTGTAGGCATCACAGAAAGGAAGGAGCGGGGACTAGTTCTAAATGTGCAGAACTTCAAACAACCACAGGGTTCAAAGGCTGCAACCCGAGTGTCATCAATAATATTGTGCAAATTGTCTTCAAGGGCGGGCATGCTAAGAAGGCTGAGAAAATACTGCGTGGTTTGCATAGCAATTTATCTGAGGACTGCACGGCTGTGGAATTTGAACTTTCCTGATTACATCAAGTGCCTCCAGTTTCAGCAAAAGAAAGTAACACATTCCTAGACTTTCTTAGGTGTAGACAAAAGAAGAATTACTTTGCATAGCATCTAATTGTGGTTTGCATAGCAATTTACCTAAGGACTGCAAAGCTGTGGAACTTGAACTTTCCTGGTTACATCCAGTATCTCCTGTTCAGCAAAGGAAAGTAACTAATTCCTAGACTTTCTTCTTATTTGTAGAGAAAAGAAGAGCTATTTCGCATAGCTTCTGTTGGCCTTTGAAGAACTTACTTCTCATTAACTGGCCGAAAGGAGCTGCCAGAACAAATCTGATCCTAACCTGCTACAGAGGACAGGCGAGGGGGGTGGGTGGGTGTTCAGCGTTTTTTCTCCTCTTAAATCCAGGACTTTAAAGGCTTTGTTCTGAGAACTACTTGTTTATCTGTGTGAGGAGTGTGAAGGTGGTACTTGCATTTTGCAGAAGAAAATGAAGGACTGGCAAATGAAAGTCAACAAAGAATTGGCAGGAGCAGACTTTGGATGGAAAATGAACTGAATCTTTTCATTTTGCTCCAGTGTATTCATTTCTGCTCTAATCTGAATGTTGGTGCTGACTCCCAGCCCAGTTCAATCAGTACAGGCTGTCAAAATGTCATATATCTGGATAGGTAGTAAAGTGACAGTGGCAGGACTTCTGAGCTTAGGCTTGTCAATCATGCCTCTGCTCCTTGTAATAAAATAACAAAGAAGAACCCTTATCATGGTTTGCCTGTTTCGGGACTGTTGGGGAAAAAAAAGTATAAGTCTCTATTCTTCTACTGCAGTCTGTGTGTGTGTGTGTGTGTGTGTGTGTGTGGTCTTGCATGTTTTCTTTGGATAGCTGCTTATTAATCTGGCTGATGTTGCTTTTCCGAACTCCTATTGTGTCTGTTTGTTTCTTTCAACTGCATGAAGATATATTTTCCCTCTAACTGCTTTGCATCTCCAATGCTAACGGTTTTCCTTACTATTGCACAAGGTAATGAATCTGAAGTAATGCATCTCAAGTTGAAGTTGCATGAATGCGTCTGCTGGGCTAAGTGTATTTATGAGCTGGACGTTCTTGTTACTCCTAGCTCTGGCTTGGAATGATGCTTTGGAAAGTTTACAGCCCCTGCAGATGAAAGAGTAAGCTGACCAAGATTCTTGTGAGGTTTGGAGTGCATACACCTGGTGAGGAGCACACTCAAGCCAGGAAATCAATGCATGTAATGCTTGGACCAGAGGGACAATTATAAACAACATGGATTCCGAGTCTTAAGTATAACTGAGCGTCTAATTAATGCTCTAGATTGAACAGGACAGAAGCTTATTGTTCATGGTTGGTGTGCGGAAGAGGAGCTGTCTGTCATCTCTAATTGTGCTCTGGCCCTGGTTTGGCTCCTTTATGATAATGACGATGATGTGGCAATGCCACTTCTCTTCCTCAGAGTGCCGCTGCTACCGCCTTTATGGGTTTTCCTTTTTCAAGCGTCTGCCGATTCCTCTTTCATCAGGTTCACGGATGCTGGAGCAGAGTGTTGGGGAGTGGCTGGAGTCCATCGGCTTACAGCAGTACGAAAGTAAACTGCTTCTCAATGGCTTCGATGATGTCTGCTTCCTGGTGAGTAACTACGTGACAATCTATGAAAAGGGTTTTGTTGAACAAGTCCATTGATTTTGGAAAAATATATTCAAATTGATAATATTTTCATGATGTTTGGCTCTCAGATTAAAAAGTTTGAACAGTCCTGCCTGACAATAAATGCTGGACTTTCCTTTTTGGAGTATAGATTTGTCCTGTAAATTTGATGTTCAAGAGTAATTCTCAGTAAGGATAGTTGTAAAGACATCTAGAAAGTAGTGCTGTGGAGAATTGAGCTGTAACCTTAAATGGAGATGCCTAATCGAAACATATCTGAAGTAATTCAACCCCTAAAGTACTCATATCTTAGTGCAATTTCAGCAGTCCGTCAATTTGAGAATATATATTTCACTGCCATGTTCATTTATATACTTAGTTGCTTGTTGGTAAATGCCTGCAATGTTAAAATATATACTACGTGCTAAATACTATGAAAATAAATGTATCTGATCTCCAGTATATTGTATACACTTACTGCGGATGTGAATATATTTCTTTTTTAAAAGATTCTGTCTTTATTGCTAAGCCTACTACTTAAGAACAACATTATTGGGAGAAAAGAAGCTTTAGCCCTAGCCATCTTAATTAAGATAAAAAAAATACACAGTTTATCTGCACTGGTATTCATTTCTGCTCTTAAAACAGAATGTCATTAGTATAGTTGAAATTGCTGAACGTTAGTTATCAGCATCTGGATAATTTTTACTCATTCATTGGCACAACAGAAATGAAGATTTACTGGGAGATACATGACTTAATATAATTGCCCTATCATTTTTTTACATTTAACCATGGGGAAAGTATTGTAAGATGGTGAATTATCAATCTTCAGTACGGTATATAAAATACACATTTGCAAGTCCTTCAGTGTAGAATATACCTAGTTAAATTCCATCTTTGAAACAGAGGCTTCTGAATTACTTTTGTGGGGGGGAAACAAGTTAGAAAATATGTTTCTCTTTGTTCAGTAGGTTTCATATGGAAGCCCAAAATAAATTTCCTGAATTGTTTAGATATCTACTTGTAAAACTCTTTGTTACTCAAAAACATCTAATTAGTTCTGAAACTGAGAAACAGAAGTCTAACTACAAACCCAGATTACACTATAACATTTTGCAGAACACTGCTTTAATTTTTTGGTATTTCTGTGGTCAAACCATCACTTTAGAAAGTAATAGGGACAGAATGCAGTATTATTTGTTAGTGTTGTAATAGTTATTTCAAGGTTTTGCTTTCCAATTATCCAGTTACATTTGGATAAGCATACTGGAATGAAAATATTTTCTTTTGTTTATGACTGTTCTGTTTGTATCGTGAAGTTTGATAATCGTGCCAAAATTGGAATAGTTGAGGAGATGTTAGAGAAGGACATCTAAGTTTAGTTATTGTCTATAAAACTTTTGCATATATTTAAATTTTTAACATTTAAATTAATCTTTAAAATTCAGTTATTGTTCTAGTGTATTAGGCTTTAGAGCACACATGTTTATCCAGACTCCAGTTGTTATAGTAATCTCCCACTTCAACACTTGAAAGCTTTTGAATATTTAAGTTTTTTCTAATAAAGATGAATGGAAGAATATTTATATTTCCTATTAACACATGCACACATACATACACATGCACTTTTCCTAGTTATAATTTGTGCTGAAACCTGAAAAGATGTTTGCTAGTCCTAGCAAGTAATCTTTTAATTTTTTAAAAAAACTTTGGGATGCTATTTAGTCTGCACTACTGTATTCTTTTGGTTTTCATAAAAAAATTGTTAAGTAAAGCAGGAACAAAATACTGAAATTCTCTGCATTTGGAGGCTGTTATATAGTGTAAAAATGTGCACAGTAATGTTTTGCATATATATGCTCTCTCTCCATATACACATACATACATACACACACACACACACACACACACAAATATATATATATATGTGTACACACACATATACATACATATACATATACATATACATACACATACACATACACATACACATACACATACACATATACATATACATATACATATACGGAGTTCAGACAGATTGGTCTGATTGTGAACACCTTGACATTTTCAACTGCCATACTGCAGTTTACTCTTTTAACAATATCTTTTGCCTTGCCGCCCCCAACTAGGGGCATAGAGCAGGCTCAAGTCGCAACTGCGAAGTATTTTTATATCCAAATTTCTTTTTTTCTGACAAAGAGTAAAGAATTAAATTGGGAGACTAAGATGGACCATTTCTGGCTTTTTTGCCTTCATCAGTTAGCCATACCCTAAATTATATATATAATTTATTAGCCCTAGATTAGGAATAGGGAATGCCCCCTTCTCTTAAGAAATCCAGTTGTGAACTTTCAATACTTGGCTAACAATTTTGATTCCTGTGCACAAAGTGAGGAGGCACCAGCTGAATTTAGTTACTTTAGCCCTCTCTTTTTTTCTTAAATAAAAATGTGTTGAAAATTCTAATTGACGTTTCTACATTTTTCAGATATTTAAAGTAGAACTAAACACAAGTGAAGAATTACACAAACCCAACCTTGGATTTTCTACTCACTTTCATGTCTTTGGTGTTCTTTCTTGCATGAATCTGGACATGGATTTCAACTGCCCATATTTGAGACATTTATTATAGATGCTACTGTTGACCAAAGTGTTCATTCTCAATACTCTTAATAGATTTCATAAAAGAACCATAATATCCTTTTAAAATAATTTATATTGAACCATAATTAACAAATATTAAGTTCTTTATGGACTGGTACCCTAGGTCAAATTGGGGAAAATGTTATGGAAAATTATGGTCCCTTGTTTCATATTTTGTCAGTCTAATTTTTTAAGCTTTTGTTAAATAGTGAGTTTAGAGTTATATAATTCTAAAGGATTGGCACAAAGAAGTTACATTAAATCTCACTGATATATAAAGTAGCTAAGTACATTGAGTAATGATTTTCATTTTGCCAGATGGCTATTAAGCTAATTGCTTCAGCCATAATATAAATTAAGTTAGGTTCTGTTCATAGAATGATAAAACATAGTTCATTTTTTTGTCGTTGTAGATAACATTGCCTAAAATATGTGTATATTTTGTTCTTAATGTTGAGAAATTTCTAACTATATCAACATGGAGTCAGCAGGAGGTTTTTTTTGTAGATTTACAAGAAAAATCAGAAAGGAGTTCTTGAAATATTCTGCTTTATGTTGAGATTAAAATAGATTACACTCCACTATTTTACATTTCAGTGTTAATTTTCAAAATTCCAAAAGGATTAAAATCAAAAATAATAATTGGTATGAAATGCAAGAGGATTGTGTAAAATGTATTTTGCATAATACTCTGTAAATATTGCATATTATGAACCTTATGGTTTTCTGATAGATGTAACCAAATTGAGAGTGATGTTTCTGCAGCAATTACTGCGTTTCTCAACATGAAACATAATCTGTGAATAATCCTTGGTTTGATCTTAGAGAGTAATGAATAGGTCAGATCATTCACAGTCCATTTAAATTAGGCAATTCATATAGTATGTGGGAAAATTAAATTCTGGAATCAAAGAAAGGAACAATCAGTTCCCCTTTTCTCAATGCTAGGGAAGAACTATGTTTTTTATAGACAGATTAGGACAAGCGTGGTTTGTGTAATGTAGCACATTCCTCTCCCATTCATGGATAACATTGGTAACAAATGTATTGAGGAAAAGAAGTAAATACCTTGCTAGCCTCCTATGTGTTGTATAAAATTCACATACTATGAGGGGATAAAATCAAACAGTAATATTGTGTTTTATTCAGAGGCCTGAAAGGCTAATTCAGATGCTGTGTTTTAGTAGAAACTATTCATCAAATTGTATAGTCATACAATGAACTATAAATTACATTTGTTATTTCAGTCCAGTATTTTACCAGTTTACTTAGCCAATCTCTCGCAAAGTACAGGCTTATAAACAATTTTTTATTTCCACCAATGGAACATCTAGCTCTGGTCCTAAAGTTATTGGGATAGTAAAAGAATCCAGAGCTTTCCATCTGTGCAAATCTGATTTTAATTTTTCACAATAAAATATGCCGTATGGGTAATGGTTATTCTGAGGATTTTCATAGTTATAAATTTTAATCTCCTGGTTGAACTCTTGCAATGCATTTTACTTGAGGCATCCTTGAAAGACCATTCAGAAATGGAGTTAGTACAAAATGCAGTGACCTATGTGTGTAATTGGTGCTAGATGCCACAAACATTAACACCTGTGCTTCAGTCCTTTGCAATGGTTGCCTTAAGTTTCCACTGTAATTCAAAGTTTACTCCAAGCAATAAAAAAATATTGGCAATTCAGTAAAGGAGACTATTTGTAGCTCAGGATTGAAATGATGGGTCCTGGGTGCTTTCTGAGCTTCATAGATTTTATGCAGACATTTCATTACCCAAACTAGATCACATGAACAATGCTAGTAAGGAATGGGGTTTTCCCTCAGTTTATATTCCAGTGGTTTGCTATGTCAGTGTTAGTGGGAGTGGTCTTGGATGTATTACTGCCCCAATGGCAATTGGTTGAGCCATTTACTGTTAATCTGAATGGCAGTTTCTTGTTTGGGGTATTGTTTGCTTCTTGATTGATGGTCTGATCTTAATTTTGGAGCTAATCTATGCTCATCTGGGCATAAAAACACCTTCCCACCAACAATCAACACCCAGATCTATTGTATAGTGAGGTATGGAGATGGCTTCAAATGTCATAAGCCAATACCTAGCATTGTCTTATTCAACCATACCTGCAAAAATGCTTCTCTAAAAGGTATTGTAATGAAAATTCAAAAATTGAAACATTTTATATAATACAGTATGCTACCACATGGGTCTTCTTCATATAAAACTTACCACCCAGATTGCATTTATAACTGGTTCCAGCATCCTGTGTTCACATGACCATGATTTGTGACATTTTTCTATCAGAAAATGGCAAAAAATCCAGCCCACTGGATACGCTGAATTTGTTTTAAGTGTGGTTCATTTAAAGACCATATGGTTTGCTTAATGACTGTGGTATCTCAATAAAAATTGAGTCATTTCATGTGACTCGATTTGACCACCCAGACGTACAAACAACATTTCAGGCCTAATTATGGTAATTCAGTGAAGACTATTTATAATACGGTTGGAGCTAGTTAACTTTTTTGCAGTTGTTTATTTTATTGTTTTCCTTGGTTTATTTTCCACCTTTTCCCTGAAATTGCTCTGCTTATTAATTTTGCATTAATCTACTAATGTTGATATATATAGTATATGTATAAATATGTATGTATTTTCTTTTGCTGATTAAACATAACAACATACTTATAAAATAATAACATAAATGTTCAAAACAATCAAAATAATAAAAATGGAAGAACTGATTAATTAATGTAACATCTAAAGCTTTTGTGAAATATATTTAGAATATAATGTTCAAAAAAGCTATATTTAGTTCAGTATTGGATCACTAGAATAAATGTTTTTACCTCTTAAAAATACATATATAATTGCAATATTTTCTGTGAATAGGGTAAGACCTAACATACTTACTAATTTCTAATTTCACCAAAAGAAGGACATAAAGGATGAGATGGCCTAAATTTTACATGTGTAAATTACTTTTAAGGGTTCAGTATGGGCCAAGACAACCAAAGATTAGATATGCAAAGCTGAGTACCATCTGTTCATTGCATCAATAATGAATTTCATATTTTTATATTCACTATCTGCATGATTCAACTATTAAGAACAATCAATATTTTTTTCTGTGTTCATTATAGTGTTCCCTCAAATCCACTGTTACAATTGTCTTGAGAAGTATTTGTTTAGTTTGGTTTTCCTGGGTTTGTTTAATTTGATAAATTGTTTCTAAAAAGATTGGATAGGAAACAAAATACTCAGGTAATACTTCAGCTTGTCTTCACTGAAGATGAACCAATGCTAATTTTAACAGAAATGTTCCTAGCTGTATATCTAAAGGATTGTGTTTTCCCTCCTACTGTTCTGACAGATGACTGGCCAGTGGTGTATAAAATGCTAAATGACTTGCCATTTTACCCTTCAAAGTGAATCATATTTCAAAGCGAGAACCTCCACCACTCACAAAACCAGTTAATATCTATACATGCATTACTGCCTTAGGCCAAATAGATGCAGCGAACGTTTTGTCATTCCTAAGCAATTTGTAATACAAAAAGCATTGGTACATAATGTTTAACATTTTTTTCTAATTAAATTGAAGTTAGTTTTGAGGTGGAAGGATAAATGCATTCAACTAACATTTCAGATAGCAATGAGTGAGATGGGCATTCTTCAGGAATATTTTGGACAAGCTGCCTTTCGTGTTACATAAGCTCAGCTTCTCTCTGCTATTCATTAAATTAGCCTCTTCTTTTTCTAGGCTTCTGTGAGATCCTGAACAAAAGGGGTAGTTTTTTAACGAAACATTCATTTTAATGAATTAACTACTTAAAGCAGCCATATCTAATTCCAGACTTATATGGAAGCCTGAAAAAAATAAAGATTGCTTTAATGAAGATAAAGAAAATGCTCAGATGCTCCCTGTGCTTCTTTGAGTTATTTTCAAAGCGTATACAGCATTAGAATCCAGACTATATCCCAATTACACCAACAAGCAATGATTATAATATTAAAAGTCATCAATCTGTTCTTCTCTGTTGCCTACTGAATATGTCCAGAAAAAATATAGAAACTGCAGAAGTATTGTAAAGAAAAATTAGAACAGATTTTTGTAAAGGAAACATTTCCACAAAATTTTTTTATCAGAGTTAGTGAAGATGATAGAAATGTTGATTGAGGTAACTGTATTTTCATAAACTGTTTAGCAAAATACCTTACTGAAGCTTCCTTTTAAAAGTAATTATAGTAAACAGAACAAAATAGAATAGAATAACTTTATTGTCACTTTAAATGTACACTAACCAGCATACATTAAAATGAACGTTTGTTATATGTCTCTGTCATTTAATACCTTATTTTCAATGTTATTGGTATCATCTAAATAGAATATTAAGCTTGTCATAATATTCATTGTTATGGCTGTATTTTTAAGGTTTTCAAGAAGTTGAATTCTATGTTTCATAGCAAGCCCTGCATTTATTGGTCTAGAGCAGAATTGTATTTCTAAATATTTCTTTTTCTTGTTCTCTGTAGGGATGTAATGTTATGGAAGATCAGGACCTTCGGGAAATTGGTATTAGTGATCCACAACATCGCAGAAAACTTCTCCAAGCAGCACGTTCCCTTCCTAAGGTTAAAATAATAATCTATTTTTATATACAGAAAAAATGTTTTCATGTCAGTGTAATGATGGATAGAAAACCACAAGGCATTTCTTAAATGTTATAATAGAGTTTATTTTGGTGATGGACTAGATTTGAAAATAAAACACATTAAAAAATGAATAAAACCCCCAAACAGAAAAAAGTATGTTACAATTAATGTTAAATATTTAACATTAGTTAAACTTAAATAAATTTATGATTCTGACAGGTAGTGGGCAATCTGTAGACTTCAGGCTGCTTTTATATAGGCTTCAGCCTAATTTCAAAGCATCTTAATATTTTGGTTCAGATCTGGGATCACTCTGAGCTTCAAGCATGGGTGGGGACTTTGAATTGCATTTCTCCAATCTCACTATAACACTGTGGTAACCTGTTTATTCAATATTGTCACTTTTTGAGAAAGCATAAAAGAACTAGCATTTTTCTTTCATGTAGGAGGTCAAATTGTAAAGTATTGTAAAGGTAAAAGTTCCCCCTGTCCAGTTGTGTCCAACTCTAGGGGGTGGTGCTCATCTCCATTTCCTAGCTGAGGGAGCCAGCGTTGTCTGAAGACGCTGCCATGGTCATGTGGCTGGCATGATTATATACTGAGGTGCACAGAATACTATTACTTTCCCACCTAAGTGGTACCTATTTATCTACTTAAATTTGCATGTTTTTGAACTGCTAGGTTGGCAGGATTTGGAGCAAGAATGAGAGCTCACCCTATCATGTGATGCTTGGGTCTTGAACTGCCAACTTTCCAGTCGACAAGTCCAGCATGTTAACCGTTGTAGCAAAGCATCCGATGACAACACTGAATATTTCTCTGGTTGAATTGTTGTGAATTGCCAAGTTATACCTTTTCGTTGAGGCCATTAGAAAAGTTTCTGATATGTGGAATAGACTGAAAGAGCATGTTTCCAAGAGATGGCAAGTTTTAACTGTCATAAGTGGGATTTTTCTCTTGATTTTTTAATTTCTCACTAAATAGCAGCTGTGATTTTTGCACCCTGGGTATGAAGTCAGGCTTACATAGTTAGGCTATAAGTAATCTAGAAAAGATAGTAAAAGCCAGTATCCATGAGGGGATGGGTCAGCACTTTGTAGAATTAAAGACAGTGCTCTATCTATGATAGTCTGGGACTAGCTAGCAAATTAGTATGGTATAATAGCTAAATCACTTTTCCAAGAAAACTTAGGGAAATTTAAAGGCATGATCTGATTTTTACCAGTTGTGCTGGTATATAGATTAGTTTGCACAAGACAGGATTGGGGGAAAACAAAAGCTGAATTCCATCTATTCAGTATAGAATCTTAAAGAGCTTGTCATGTACCTTCTTAAATCAAGGCTTTTTGAGACCTGGACTAAATTGGAGAATCAAATAGGTTCTTACATAGCTTTGTATACAGCTTATGGAGTTAATGGATACAATAAAAAAGTTGTTGCTGCTTAAAAGGTATATTTTGAAAATAATCTATATAAATAAAAATGTAAATGTTTGTTTGTTCAAAATCTTAAATCTCCGAAAGTTCTTCACCGATTGCTTTGAAATTTTGAGACAACGTTGCATTCGAATACGCGCGTGTTTTTATATACCTACTATTATATAGATGTCACACCTGTGACAGGTAAAAGCATGCTTTTTTTGAAAAACAGCACCATCTGTTGGACGTAAAAGCAACACACACTAGCATTGTGAAATTAAACATATTAGAAACGTGCGCTTTCTCTTTTCTTTCTTTTCCATTTAACAAGACTGAGCCACAGCAACGCGTGGCCGGGTACAGCTAGTGCATAAATAAGAGATAGGAACAAATCATATCATAGACTCTAAATAGTCTTATATGGTAGGGATTTTGTTCATAAAATAACTAGAACAAAAATGCATGACCATAGACATTTACCTAAAAAGGAAGACTGCTGGAAGCTAAAACTGTTTCTCTGTGTGTCTATTTTCTGAACTGCTGCAGCAGCTGGCATTAATTGAGCTGGAAAACAGGGTATCTTCAAACATAGCTTGCCCAGAAGACTGGCAGAAAATAATATAAGAAGTAATTACCCCAACACACACACACACTCACACACAAATTTCTTATTCTTTGTGGTTGTTATCCTTTCCTCCAATATTTCTGTGGATCCAACTTTCAAAGCAACATACGATGATATCAGATTTGGGAACATGGCAATTCTTGTGAAGAATTTATGATCCAGATTTTCCTTTAGAACCCCCCAAAATTGCTTCTTCTTTCAGTAATTTTTAGGCAACTTCATAGTTCTTAGGCAGTACTAAAGTATATTGTATTATTGCACAAATCTGCTTGTTTTCCTTGAATTCCAGAAGGCTGTAGTTAATAAAAGGAAATGCAGTTGCATTCAGTTCCAAAGATGTAATATCTCAACTTTGACAAAGGAGACATTCTCTCTCTCTCTCTCTCTCTCTCTCTCTCTCTCTCTCTCTCTCTCTCTCTCTCTCTCTCAGAGAGAGATTGTGTGTGTGTGTGTGTGTGTGTGAGAGAGAGAGAGAGAGATTGTGTGAGAGAGAGATTGTGTGAGAGAGAGATTGTGTGTGTGAGAGAGAGATTGTGAGTTTCTTTAGGTTCACTAGATTATTCATAGAGATAAAGGAATATCTTCCAAGTCTATTTTTACTCCAGAGTTAAAAGCAATTGTTACAACCATCACAGCTATTGTGAAATGGTATTAACATTATCTAATTTCTTTTCCATTCACACTTTAGGGAGCCACTATTGTATCATACCCAAACTAGGTGTCTCCAGGCTCTGCTCCCATTGGACCTGTTAAGCAGTACATTTGACTGTAGATTTTAAAATTAGAGTGACAGTCTCACTAATGAGAGTGGCATCTTGCCTCTCCCCTTTCCTATTTTTATGGCATAAAATCAATTTGACTTCTGGTTGTTAAGGGAACTATGGGACTAACTAAACAGCGCATGACACTGATTGCCCTTTTTCTATAAAAAAGAATTGTAGAGAGAGAGGTGTTAAACAGAAAAATATGTGTATGTCTGATGCAAAAGCTACTTGGAACAGCTAATAATTTTCTTGGAATAGAAAATTAACTTACTGGCATTAAACCTCTTCCCACCAATTTTGCCTTCCAAAATTGATACTCTATCAATACTTAATGGAAAAAGAGAAGAGCCACTGAGATCCAATTAAACTAAGTCATTTGCCCAATGATTTATTTCCACTTAATACAAATTATTTATACCATTTGTTCAAAAAGCCTTGCATAGCTGAATGCGATCTGACAATCACATTGAAATATCTAAAATGTTTTAAGGGTTGTTCAGTTATAATGCTCTATTCTTTGTGTTCTTTACAGGTGAAATCTCTAGGCTATGATGGAACTCAACCTTCAGTTCCTGCGTGGCTTGATTCCTTGGGGCTTCAAGATTACATTCAGTCATTTCTGTCGAGTGGCTATAGTTCTATAGACTCAGTGAAAAACCTCTGGGAACTAGAATTAGTAAATGTAAGTTGATACTTTATTGAATTCCAGTTTAGATCAAAATTTGGACATTCACTGTGTTAGGATAAACGTTAGCATTGTAACTGTTTGGGAGAAAGTGTGGAGAGCCATAACATGAGAATCTTTTGTAACAGTATATGCTAACTTTGCCCTTCTCTCCAGGTACTCAAGGTGAATCTTCTTGGCCATCGTAAACGTATAATAGCCTCTCTGGCAGACAGACCATATGAGGAACCCCCACAGAAGCCACCAAGGTTCTCTCAACTAAGAGTGAGTTTTCATGTTTCAGTGTCTGCTCAGTAATAGTTTAGAGAACTATGAAGAATAGCACCATGGTTGTGTCTATGGGTCTTGTTACTCATTCAGATTCTTTTTCTTAACTAAGAAAGGTCTACAAAATAAATATTTTTTTCTTTAAAAAAAATCTCACTAGAAAGTGGAATTCAAAGTGCTAATTTTGATATATGAAACTTTATATGATTTGGAACCAAGGTAATTCCAGGACGGCTTAATCAGAATGCACTTCCTGAAGACAAGAGGAACTTCTACTGGCATTCTGGTTCAGAGAAGTGCAAAGGGGGAGGCCAGAAAGCTTCTGGCTTTGCAGAAATTAGCAAAGACCCAAGTTTTTCTGAAACATCTTCAAGGAATTATTGTTAATCAATATTTCAGTATTTCAGTTTGTATTTTTTGGTTCTTGATCATTTTGATTTGTTTTGAAAATGATTTTACTGTTTTGTGATATTATTGGTGTGTTTTTCCCCCTTAACTATGGATGTTTTAATATAATTTTATATTGCTACAAGCCACTGAGAGCCTAGATGGCTTGGTTGCATATGTATTTTAATAATGATCATAATCATAATATAAAACTTATATAGACATTGACCTGCTTGGTATGCATACAAGAGACTTTGAAAATAATCAACAAAACAACAGGTTTTTTTTTTAAATGTCAATTTCTTGAATTTCAGTGCCAGGATTTGATATCCCAGACATCTTCACCTCTGAGTCAGAGTGATTCTTTGACAGGGAGGTCTGCAGATCTCCTGCTGCCTTTGGAAGATGCTGGGAAGAAGAGACATGAGAACATCCATGATATTGCATCTTATCCAAGAGCAGAGAAGTTTAGGACACAGGTCAGAAAAATCTGATCCCTTGAAGTCATTTTGATAGTTTATCTTTGGATATTATTGTATACTTTTAAGTAGCAGAAAAACAAAAACAGTTATACTACAGAGCAGCAACCTTCATAGTAAAAGTGCCCAGTCTTGCAGTATCTGTATCAGTTTTTCTGGCTGGAGAATATGGCTATATTCACTGTAAAAACAACAGCAATACTCTGTATTTCCAAAAAGGATGTGTGGGGAGGGATGTGACTAGTTCTGAATATTTTCTTGACACTGGGGATGGGGATGGGAATGATTGATTATTTCTTCCTCCAGTGGAGTAGCTAATTAATTCAAGCCAGTTTCTGTCTCCATATCTTGTATTGTTTGGCACTGGCACTGTGCCACAGGCAATTATAGTTCACCACAGGGACCAGGTATTATATGATCACAGAGTTGATAATTATACAGATGAATGTATGTTTTGGTTAGACAACAGTTGTTAAAGTAACAGTTGTTAAAAAGTTAAAGTAAACTGTGACCACAGTTTGTCAAATTAGCCTATCTCAATCCATTCTGTAAAGTAATAGAGCTCAGAACAGGACTTTTAACAATTCCTTCCACAGGACATATACAGCACCAGCTAAGTTAGCAGTTACACTTTTTAATTTATTTATTTTGTTTATAAATTTTATTGTCCCTCCATTTTACCACAGAGTAACTCTGGGTGGAGTTTTCATCAGTAGCCTAAATCTTTGAAAATTTTAAGAATTTCATAAAGTAACATCATACTTTGCTGAAAAGTGTTTGAAATCCTGATTTTCACTAAGCCTTTAAGTAACAGTTTTAAACATTTTAGTATGATTATTTTTATATACTTTTTGCATAGCTGTAGATATTTATATACATAAAGAGATGTGTGTGTAGTTATATTTAGATATAGAGGGTTTTTTGGAATACATGACTTGAAATGAACGTAATCTGTTTGGTTTCTTTATTTATTAATTAGTTCCTAATGAAAAGTTCTGATTTGAACAATTATTTGTGTTGTAGGAGGAACATCGTGAATCAAAGCTTACACTCAGACCTCCTAGTCTGGCAACTCCCTATGCTCCCGTCCAGCACTGGCAGCATCAGCCAGAGAAACTTATATTTGAGTCCTGTGAGTATGAAGCCAATGTAAGTATATTCTTGATTCTTGTACTCTGTTGCATAATCTTGTAGTCCTCATAAATTTTTATTGATTGCTACTTAGTTTAGTCAAGTTAGGTTTACTAAGCGTACAAAGTTAATTTCAGCTGATGTGGCAGAAGAGTAGAGGGGGAAATGACGAAGCAGTCTAACATGGTCTCTGTGAGAGGAAGCTACAGAGCAGCGGTTCTCAACCTATGGGTCGCGACCCCATTTGGGGTCGATCGACCATTTCACGGGGGTCGCCAAGCAAGGCTGTCCACCATTTTTTCCCCCTTTTCCGGCGGGTGCCTTACCTCCCTTGAGCTGGGCCAGCTGGTGGTCGGCCTGCTCCGTCTCTGCCGCTTGCCAGCTACACCTCGGCCGGCGCAGGGGGCAGAACCACGCATGCGCGGTGCTCCCGGGCAGGGAAAGTCCTCGGCTTACGACCGGTTGGGTAGTCCTCGACTTACGACCGGTTTAATCCTCAACTTACAACCGGTTTAGTCCTCAACGTACGACCAGTTGGGGGTCGCGGCATTAAAAAGGTTGAGAACCACTGCTACAGAGGCCAGCTCTTGAAGCCCTTACCTGCCTGTTCCCAAGAGAATGCAGTTAGTCTGGCAAGATTCTTCTGAACAGGGGAATAACAATAAAGTACTATGGCCTACTCATGGAGTTGTTCTGTTTTCTTGTGCTGACCTTATATGTACAAATAATTATACTATCAAGTGCTTACTATTTTCCTGCTTTAAACAGTATCTGGGGTCCATGTTAATCAAAGATCTTCGAGGAACAGAATCTACACAGGATGCCTGTGCAAAAATGAGGGTAAGTATGGAATTTATAAAAATTATTTTGATACCAAGGAAAAATAAATTATGTAATGTAGAACCCCACAATTGAAGATTCTGCTCAGGATGTAGACTAAACTTATTAAATGCAAATACTTTTTTAGTATTCATTATACTAAGCTACCATTTGGCCATAACTGTTTAATAGATTCAGTATAAACTTTTAAAGTATTATGAAGTCTCTTTCCAAGCCCTGGTCCCTTGTGACATTGTTTTAAAAACCCAAATTGTAACAGTTGTGTTCCAGCAGCAATAAAGATCTTCAAGCACAGGTTATGAATCATTTGGCACTGATTCTCAGATCTGTAATTATCTTTACTCCTCCCAAGATTATCCAGACTACATTTTTAATGGCTTTATTGCAAGTTTCTGGCATATTGCAACTCCATTAAGACTAGAATCTGTTTTAATTTCTATAGAAATGTACATGAAGTGCTGCTACTTAAAATTTTGGCATAAATATTCTTTGCAAGCTTTGTAGCCCCCTTGATTGTACAAGTTAATTTTTCAACAATATGATTGGTAGAAAATAATTTCAACCCCAAAATTTGCAGTATTTCTGGCCAGCATCTTTGGTTTGAGTTGAAATAGCAAGTATTTGACATAGATTTGCAAAATGATTTAAATTCTAGTTTCATCTGAATTATGGTGGGCTTGTATGGAAAATCTTTTTCAACTGCCACTTTGCTAATATTTTATTTCTGTCTCACAAGAGAACTGTAGTTTAGCCATTATTGATGTTTTTTCTTCATCTCTGCTGGGAGATTAAGAGCATCTTCTTGCAAATGCCCTAATGGGGGAAGTTGAACCAGTGCTTTGAATCAGTATTTTATGTTGTTTCTTTTATTTGACTTGCCCAAAGGTTTGATAGTGTTTTTAATAATAGTCATAGAAGTTTAGAAAAGGAAATTATTCTATTCCCCCCCGTCCACAGGTCAACTGCAATTTCTAAAAGAATTGCAAAATTCTGTTAAGCTGACGTTGTTGTCTCTCTCATGATATACTAGTCTGTCACTCCATTTTAGTTTCTTTGTGTGTGTCAGTGTTCTCTGACTATAATCTAATTTTCAGCATTTTTAACTCAAGAATTTAGATTTTTTCTTTTATTATGTAATATTTCACTACATTCCAGATCTCAGAAATGCAGCTCTATAAAATATTATTGCAAAATATCTAATTTCTGTAACTATTACTTTGAAAACTTAAACTGAAGTGAGAGAATTTGAAATCTTTTGTGCACATGGTCTCCATTCTTGAGAAATTATTTAATCTGTGTCTATTAACTGTTTTTCCCCTCTTTTATAAAGAAATCAACTGAGCATATGAAGAAAACCCCAACAATAATATTATCTATTACTTATAAAGGAGTGAAGTTCATAGATGCTGCTAATAAGGTAAGAAAATCCTTGCGTTCATGATTAGTATTCCAGCCTTAAGTGACAAATGATAGTGCTGCACTAACATGAACATAATATCAATCTATTCTGCAAATCCTCAGGCCTGATCAGTAGAAAGACAAAGTATTCTGACAAAATTGTAGCCCTGCGCTGAGATGGGAGGTAAATACAGGTAGTCCTCGAGTTACGAGTGTAATGGAGCCTGCCCATTCCACTCGTAACTCGAAAACTCGTAGAATCCCGTAGAGTGATACGAGATCACTCCCTTGCTCATTAAAACGCACGTGGTCGGTTAAGAGAACATGAGCTATCTCAGGGTGGGAAGGTCATGGAGGGCCTAGTGGTGGAACAGGCCCCCAAGGCCTCCCTGACCCACTAAGATAACACATGCTTTCCCCTCCCTGCCGCGCTAGACTCACCTGGAAAAGATCCGTCTCCTCTCTGCCGTGGTTCCTGCTGCCGCCTGGATTTGAGGCTGGGGAACGCTTCCGCGACCCTCCCGCGGCCCGATCCGGGCTCCAAAGGCCTTTTTCACGCCCGATTGGAAGCGTTCCCCAGCCTCAAATCCTGGCTGCAGTGGCCTGGAAAAGGCTCCAGAGGCACAGGGAAATGTCTCCCAGCTTCGGTTCCATTCTCTGTTGCAGAGAACAGAGGCCTAAAGCACCATGAGATCACATGAGATCAGTAGCGTGAGATCTCGCCCCACTGATCTTGCGTGATCTTGCATTACTTTAAGCCTCTATTCTCTGCGAACGCACTGAAGGCCTGGAGCAGCCAAGAAAGCGAAGGATCTCAATCTTCTCAGGGTGAATATTGAAGGCCTGGGTGCCTAGGGAGACCCAGGCTGGGGTGTGGAGGGAATAACTAGGGTGAATGTTACAGAGCCACTGCGGTCACTTGTAAGGGCGAATGATTGCCGTGGTGCTGCAATATTTGTAACTTCAGGACTTGCTCGTAAGCACTGGGGGCCCTCATCACGTAACTTTGAACGAGCGTTAAGTGAACACTCATAACTCGGGGATTACCTGTACATACATACATATTTTTTATAAAGATTGTCAGATTGATTTGTCTTTATCAAGTGCTACTTCTTTCTCTCTGACGCAGTTGCACAGCTGTAACTCGTCTGTTACAGTTGCTATTAGGCAACTCAAGCTACCGCATCCTGCTTCTACCCTGAAGCTTGGTCAGTCATATGCAGCCTCCACCTGGGCATATTGTGCCACAAAAAGGAAGCCTCAACTACATATCTAGGTTGCCTTGATGGTAGTAATTGGTAGCAAAATGTGTTGAAGTCCCAAGTCCAGTCCCTGGCGACTACACAATAGAATTGGGAACCTAGTCTCTCCTGAACATCTACATTTACAAGTGTAGTTTTGCAGTGTAGACAATATTGAGCTAAAGGGATCGATGGTTTGTAGCAGAAGGCAAATTTCAGTGTGAGCAGTGTGTAATTTTTATGCAAGTACAAAGTAACACAATGAAACTTTGTTTTGTTAATATTTACTTGTGGTAATTTTACTATACAAATTGAATAAAACAACTGTTTATGTATGGCAGAATGTAATTGCTGAACATGAAATTCGGAACATCTCTTGTGCTGCCCAAGACCCAGACGATCTCTGTACATTTGCCTATATCACTAAGGATTTGCAGACTAGACACCACTACTGTCATGTCTTCAGTACCATTGATGTAGTAAGTAATATAACAATCAGTGCTTTTTTTACGGAGACTTTGTATTCTGTTTAATGATGTTCATCTGTAAGTCACTGGGCTGGAATGAAATCCTCTGTGAACAGGAAGTAAATGCCAAGTGGTAGAATGCAAGAATATAAGAAATATATACGGCCCTTCTCTTTAAATTGTCTCTGGATATGAAGGGATCAAGTACGCGTTGTGGGGCCAATATATTTTGTCACTACTTTCAAACATAATACTCAAAAATAATTTTCAGTATTAAAAATAAAAATAAAGTTTCTTTAGTTTTGTAAGTTTAATGACAAAATATTTTTAATTTAATTAAAAATATTTAATTAAATGTTCCTTATTCAGGTTCCATTAATGTATACATAACAAGCAATTTAAAAACTGGCAACATATGTAATAACATCACACAGATGCCAATTATGTACTGCCAGTTGTCATTTAATATGAATAACAACTCTTAGCATTTGTGTGATGTCATCATCACGCATGTGTCTTCATTTGCCTTCCCTTCTCTCTCTCTCTGCTTTCTTTCTCACATGTAGGAAGTCAATTGCATTCAGATTTGGATATAAAATAACAAAATTTTATCAGTGAACATATTGTTCATTTGCTTCTTATTTTGAAACTTTAAAAAACCCTATAATGCTTTCTTTTGCAAACACAAAAATAGCTCTTCCAGGTTTCCTTCAGAGGTGTTGCAACTTTCATCATTATGGTATCAAACGGATATAGCATTTGACACTGTACACTTTTGGAGAATACCATGTTAAGGAAGGCTTGTATTGGAAGAGAAGCGGAGTATACCAGAATTCAAGGAAAGAGTGTTGTTGCATGTATTTGTATGCAAACTGTATGATGTTAATATGGAACTATGCTAATAGTGTAGAATTCTAAAGTCTTCTTCAAATCCTAAATACCTTATGACAGCAGAAATAGTTCAAGTTCCTTCCTAATTAAGTAGTTTTATCTCTGCATTAATAAAAAATGGAAATGGTTGCATTTAAAAAAATGATTGAATTCAGCATTTTTTAACATAGGAGATGTACTGCTGTCCATACTTCATAATTTTCAAAGTTCATAAAAAATAGATTTCCAAAGGGCATTCAAAGATATATTAAACATACAGTGCCACTTGAAAATAATGAAAATAAAATGAGATAACAGTAGCTGATTTACAACTGCAATGGACCTGCCCATTCTGTTCACAAATAGTGACAGTTGTTAAATAAGATGCACTCATGATCATCTTGCTTAATGACCTCTATCCCTGCTGTCCCCAATGTAGCTAAGTGACCACGTGGGTCATTAAGTGGAACAACAGGTGTTTCACAAATGATGAAAAATCCTGCCTGCTTCACAGTGCCCCTAGGTCAGTGGTGGCGAACCTATGGCACGCGTGCCAGAGGCGGCACTCAGAGCCCTCTGTGGGCACCCGCGCCATGCCCCGGAGATGGCAACCATCCTCTTCAACCAGCCACCTGCTAACTCGCCAAGGTCCCACGTGGCCGGATGCATTCCAGCACCCATGCGCTTGCTGGCCTCTGTGTGCGGGGGCCGATGGTGCCAGGCCCCTGCCTCGCCCTGCGACAATGGCACCCCCGCCCAACCTCACCTTGCCTTGCCTCACCCCGCAGGACCAGCCTCCTACCCACCACCCCATCCACCAGAGACCCCCTGGATCTCCCCCAACCCTGCTCGGCCCCCGCAGGTGTCCCTCCCCAGGAGCAACATCGAGTTGGCCACACCCATGTCCCTCCCCAGGAGCAACATCGAGTTGGCCATGCCCACCCGTCTGCCATGACCACTGTAGTCACGCCCACCCGGCAGGCCACACTCACCCAGCAGCCATGCCCACCTGGCACCCGGCGATACATAAGTGGGGTTTGGGTTGAGGTTTGGGCACTCGATCTCTAAAAGGTTCGCCATCACTGCCCTAGGTTCTATACTGCTATACTATCAGTCTTTGGGCAATAAAAGCAGTACTGATTACATGAATATTGAGGATAGGATTACTTTTTTCCCTGGAATCCAATAAACCCCCAGAAGCTGATTGCGTTGTGTATTTTTGGAAGACCTCAAGGAAATAGGCTAAAGAAGGAAAAAATAAAACTGACTCAAGATTCATAAAGCTGGATATTTTATTATTTATTTATCATTTTTAAGTACCACTGATCTGCCTCACAGAGGGACTCTGTTTCTTTATGCAACATTAGTTCTTCCTTCCTAATCTGCTCACAAGGGTAGGGATGGTCAGGGTATACAGCAGTAGCTCTCCTTGGAACAGGAGATTGAATTTTAATATAGAAGATAATCCAAAATGGCCTATAAAAACACCCTCAGAAATAATGTCTAATAATATTTTATCCAACCCTTTTAATTGAGTCCTACTGTAATTGATTGGCTGGTGGAAATCAGTTTTGATGGTGCTGTTCATCTATATTGATCAAAAAAATCAAATCCCAAAGTGCTCAGAGTAGACAGATATGATTTCTGTCCATAGGTATTTACTGCAAGCCACAATACAAAAATAATAAGCATGCAGGAGCATCACAATATAAGCTTCACCCTTCCATATTTGTTTGATTTCCAATGCAAGTACTTGACTTGGGGGAGGGGAGAGGCTTACAACATTATCACTTCTTTCCCATGCATATCTCCTCCCATATGTGGACATCTATTTTCTATAAAAATATCACTATATTCAGCAAATTATATGCTGAAATGTAGGTTGGTTCAACAGAATTGAACAGCTGACTTTAGGGATAGTGGGGTGTCTGCCAAACCTAACACACCAAATATATGTCCTTCAGTTTGATACCATTAGAAATGGTGTTTAAGAATCTAGGGTGATATTTATTTTTCCTCATATAGAATTGTCTAATAGTATGTTGTGAAATATTATATCCACACAAAAATTTCAGATTTCAGGAGATCCCAAAACAGATGTGTATGAACAAAAATAGTATTCATATTTATTACTCTGTAATTGAAATTCTTGCTATTTCTCTCATATACCCTTCTATATAGTATTCCTTATATTGAAATAATCTTGCAATACTTTCAATAACCCATTCTTTGAGGAGGATTTTACATGTACTTTACATTTACTGAAAAGAGGAACTTATTGTTAAGTACCAAGGTAATTAGTTAGCTGAAATTTCATATTAAAGGAACCAAATGTTATATGGTGGCTAATTCCATAAAATAACATTTAGTCAGTTCCTTGGAGGTGTAGCTTAGTTTTTTGTTTCACTTTTAATGGTAGAAGATCCATTGTAGAGTATCTTCAGGATTAAGACCCTCTACAGTGTGGAGGATGTTCAGGATTAAGACAAATTTAGTAGGAGAAAAAAAATAATTATTTTATGTATTTATTGTTGGTCACTAACTATATGCAGGATCCATATACTATGTATGTTTCTAATGTGTCTTTTTTTAGTTGAATGAATATAATAAACTGATAATGAATATCAGATTTAAGACTCAAAGTTTCCCCAGTAAAATATAACAGATTTCCTGTATTTTTAAATATTGTTCATATTTTGTTTCTTTTTTCCAAGAATCTAACATATGAAATCATTCTGACATTGGGGCAAGCATTTGAAGTAGCCTACCAGTTGGCCCTTCAAGCTCAAAAATCAAAATCTCCAGCTGTTTTGACTGCAGAAATGATAGAAACAAAATCTTCAAAACCAGTGCCTAAACCTCGAGTCAGCATGAGAAAGTCAGCAGTATGTATATCACATGCTTTTATCCATTCCTATAGAACTATGCACGTATTTAAATTTGTCAGAACATATCTTTCTAAATCTATCTACTTTCTGTACAAGACTGTTATTTTTTAATCTTTTATTTCAGCAAATGCTCTAGAGCTCCCCAACCTTTTTGGCACCAGGAACTAGTTCTGTGGAGGGCAGTTTTTCCGCAGACCAGGGGCACATAGCTTCATGCACTGTGTGGATCCCTCGCATGCACGGATGGGGCTTTGCTCACGTGCACAGCCCAATTCCTGGCAGGCTGCAGACTAGTGCCACTCTGCGGCCTGGGTGTTGGGGACCCCTGGTCTAGAGCAAGGGTGGGCTCTCTGTGGCACTCAAGCTCTTTTAGTACTATCACATAACCCACTGAACATGTTTGGAAACCCACAATGTATTGTTCTTGGGAGGGGAATGTCCAAATAAATGTAATATTAGAATTGGCACCCACTCCCCATGTTTTGCAGCTTTTCAACTTCCAAAATATCTTATCTGCCCTTTGACCACTTGAAGCTTTATGGGGAAAAAAGTATTTCTGTGCTTGAAAGAATTTTAAGGCAGATTCTTCAAGCCATTCTGAGCATTTTGAGTTTGAAAGCCTCTTTCAAGTTTGAAATCAGATCCAGATTATTTGGGGCATCCAACTTCAAATTCAGATTCAAACTATTCAAACTGGAAATATTTTAAATATGAAATATTTACCTCACTTCTAAAAGGTTTGTCTCCCTCCCGTAGTTTTCAGCTAAGTGAAAACAGAACATCAGTTATCAAAGAATAGAAAGAATATAAATTACTGCAGAAGTTGAACATTATTCAGAGTCAACGTTTATGTTTTAAAAACAAATATAGCAAAAATATCTGCCCATACAAAATATGGTTTTGTTATTTTGTTATTTGGTACATATAATTTGAGAGTGGGGAATAGGATCACAGATCCATTAACAGTGGCAGAGTAGAAATGCTTTCTCTAAAAAGCTTTATGGGGAAGAATGACCTACTGATCGTTGGCATATTTTCTCAGCTTCTGACCTGATGAGGTGGATTGTGTAATGCCTCACATTTCCTAACTGCATGAAATTGCTGATTTGCAGTAACATGGGAAATCACAAAAATCGTAAATATTAAGTAAAAAGGATAACTTTATAATATCTGTGCTGTAAAATTACATTTTTCTTCATAATTGCTGTTGCTCAGGCATATCTATACTTCCCTTTAACATGAATCTATTTTTGTTGCAAAAACTACTTGGGCTTTTATGTCAGCAATATAAATCCTTTTATATGTATATAAGCACTATTGTTCTCTCAAGCTTCCCTTGTACAACAGGAACAACAGAAACACATAATTAATGACACACAAATCCTACTTAGTTTCTATTCTTCAACACTCCAAGATTATCCCATTAATAGTCTTTGTTAATCTAACAAGAAAATAAATCTTCTGGACTTCTAACCCATAAGATTTCTTTCTTGGTTGCTGTCCTTTCTTACCTTCTGTGTTTTGCTTACTCCCATTCCTCAGGTGCCGCTCCCTTCTGATAGTCGCTGTTGTTACTGTCATACCTGTACCACACACCGTCCTTCCTATCTACCGCTGCAGTCTGTTAGTCCAGGAACTAAGGTCTTTACCCTTCTTGCAGTCACGTTTCTAGTTATTAACCTTTTACTTTAAGTGCACCAAATCTCCTTCAGACTCCTTCATTTCTTTATCTTAGCTTTGATGCTCTTTATTCCATTCTGGATTACAATTCCACTTTACATTATGCAAGGCAGATTTTGAGAAGTGTGCAGTAAACAATATTTGGACTGATCAGATTCAGTTTGGCAGGCAAAAAAGGTCTGTTGATAGAGAATAAACTATAAAAATATATGAGTACAGTAAGTAGGAATGTTTTGCTTAAAAATCAGTTCAATATTTTTTATTGAAGTGCAACTAGATCATAATTACATTTCAACAAAATTTAACTTGTTCATATTCTTAACGTGCTCATATTCTGAAATGAGCTATTGCTATTTTTTGTTTGATGGAAATCTGATACAGATTTTTCTGATGATTACATATATCCCATATGCATGCACACATATATGTTTAAATGCCAGACTAGCTATCTTCATCCCAAATCTGTCGGTCTCTTTACATTGGTTTAAAAATGCACCTAATTTCATACTTCCAAAGAAAAAAGGTTCCTGAAATGTTCTTTCTTTCCAATGTTTTCTAGCTGGAGCAATCTGAAGAGGACCAAGACTCCCAGTCCCATGCTGGTGTATCCTGGGTAGTAGAGCCCAAGCAGGATTCCAAGAGGACCCTCAGCACTAAGTATGAGACTACTATCTTCTGAAAACAAATCTACATCCAACCAGTCTAACTGTGCCTTTGCAGTTTGATCTGCCTGCTGTTCTAAACCTTCCTTTCCCCCCATTGCTGGCACTAGGCATGGTGCCACCAGAGGCAGCAGCATAGGATTATCATAGACTAAACAGCTTTTTGTATCCACTTTCTACTGAACACTGTGAATTCTCCTAAAGGAAACAAGGGTAACACATTGAGAGAGTCAGCTGTTTTTAGATATCTTGAGAGATGGGAGAAATGAAGCCTGTGGGAGTTCAATATATGGATTTGGGAAAATCAACTGGTGTTTTTGATTTTCTCTTCATGTTGACACTGTGAATATGGAGTGAATTAACACTCCACAGGGCTTTTCTGTTTAACATTCTTGTTACTGGATGGTTCTACAACTTTGTTCCCTTGTGTACATACTGTTGTAATCTAGACTTATATCTCCATACTAAGACATGGCCACAACTGTTCCATGTAGCATTCTTTTACCTGTCATCTCAAAAGACACTAATTACTGTGATATTGTTTGCAAATCTCTTGCTCACCTGATTTCTAGCATGAATCCTGTTCACATTCTTTACTGTTTCTGGATACCGGAATGTATGGTATAATATAAAAGGCAGCTAGGCACCATGATCCCCCCTATTAAGCACTTTCTTTTTTCCTAGAAGTCAGACTTAATATAGATAATGTTAAACAGGAATGTTTCAGCTCTCCAAGTATTTCTGATCAGTCTGTGTAGGATTTAGGGTTAGACCTTTCTGTTCATGTTAAGCAATCCACTTATAATTAACTGTTAACTCACATTTCCTGAACTTTAATTAGATTGCATCTTACAAAGATACACACTACTTGCTATAAATAAGGATCAGAGGCTGATAAATTATAAGATCAAGGCAAATGATAGGAAAAATGGATGGCATGTTAATGTTGTATTTAAACACAGTTAACTTTTAGAAGAAAATATATCCAGATTTTACACAGGATATTCCTAAATGTACGGCATTTCAGGCACATTGGAGTTTTCAAAATATTTGTAATTCATCTTTCTCCAGGCAGGCCAGTAAACAGTATCTGACTTCTTATGTCTTTTCAACACAAATTTTATTTAGTTTTTTTAAACCAAAGAATGCAAAGGTAGATTGAATTTTAAATTACTGGCCTTTCACTGACCCTGAATGCTTTCCTTCAAAGCAGCAAGCTTTGCTATTATTGTGGAATTAAATAGCCATTTTGGACAACTCCAAACGTTCAGTTTATTTTGCGAGATGAACTCTAAGGTCAACTCTGTTCAGATATCTGACATTTGCCTATTGTCCTTCAAATAATTTGTTCCCTCTAACCAATTTTCCAGTGATAATCCAGACATTTCATATTATTCATAGACTGTAGAATTACTGCGACTGAATGACCTTATGTAAATTACCATACATTTCTCACATCTGTGGTTTAGTCATTGACAACAGTATAAACTTCCCTTGGTTATGTTTCTTTTAATGTATAAGCTCATTCAATCCCTAGTTTTCTTTTCATTAATATTTCCCCATTTTGTTTGCCTTCTGCCAAGCTGAACTACAGACAACCACGTTTCTCCAAGGAAATGTAGTAAATGAGCAGAGCTCTAAGAAGCAGTGAAATCCTGGAGGTATGAAGATCAACACCCGGCTCTGGGTTGTGTCCTTGGCTGCTCATTAAGGACTTCCAGAGTTGAGTGAAAAGAGTTCCAAGCCACAAGCTGATAAAAGCAATATGCATTTTTAGCAAAAGAACTGAAACTTCTGCAGTTAAAAGACTGATGCCATGAATTTTAGTTTGAAATGTTTTTGTTTTCTTTATATTGTAAAATCCTCAATTTCAGCATAGCATTGATGGAAGTGAACAACAATAACTGCTAAAACAAAACATGAATATGCCTGTCTTATAATATAGCTTTACAATATCTGAATATTAAATCATTTATTCATACTTGGCTTGGAATAGTAATAGGCAGATTCCCAGCTTGATGCAATATTAAATTTATTTTGAGGTACTAGCACCTAGGCTGAAAATTGTTCATTCTTAGTAGTTACAGTAATAATTTAAAAGGGTATCTAACTTAAAAAGAATCAGAGAAATTTAAATTCTTGTCAGTTCTTGAACTAACCAGAAACCTGGTATAAGTAAGCCTACTTAACTGTATCATTGCAATACAGCTGTTTTGTTAAAATATTTTCTTTTCACACAATTTATAATAACTGGACTGTGATTTCTCACATCTCAATCAAATAATTATATATTTAAAACGTGATTGGATTGTACTCTGTGGTTTGAGATTTTTTAGAAGATTATTCACTGATTAGCACTTTTTATACTAGTTGATAATTTAAGAATGCTCATTTAAGTTCATAATTTAAGTATCTTATAATAACAATTACAGAGTATAAAAAAGTGGAGATCATGGGCATTATGCTAAAACAATTTATTTCCTTAATTCCACTAACAATGACTGCTTCAGATGGAAGCTGAACTAGAAAATGAATATCTGAAGCATTCACAGTCTTGAACACTGGCTTCAGTTCTGTGATAAATAAATATCTCTATCCTATTCAAGAAAAATATAAGGAAGTGCAAATAAGGCTTCGGTGAATATGATAGTTTGATATACCCTGTCACTGTGTTAATGATTTACTTCAATTTTTGCTACTGCTGTATCACTAAGATGTAATTTAGTCTTACTCTATTTGGTTAAAAAATAGGAGGAAAAAGTATCATCCCAAATAGTTAGATTTGGGAATAATTCACAGATGAATTTCTTGAAACATAACATTCCTTTATATGCATATGTAAATGATATGCTGGTGTTGGTATAAATATTACTGTACCAGTAAGTCTGTTCTAAAAGAATGCAAATTGCATTTTTGCTAAGAAGGAAAGGATAGTTAGCCTTAGAACATATTGACAAAGATGTTGAAAGCTTCCAACTTGCTTCTTCCAGTAATTTGGTGCTTCCTTTCTGAGTTTACATGGACATAGCAATATCCATGGGTGCATCTCCTGATTAAGCATTCCTTTTAAGAAGGCAACTCATGCCATTTTGGACTTGAGTTTTCCTAGCGATTTTAGCCATTTCTAGACTCCAAAATATTTGAGACTTTTCTCTCTCTGTGAGGTTTTATAGCACACAGAGAAGAATACCATCTATTTGCTGGCACCTAATCTGTTTATCGGTCCATTTAAAATACTACACTTATTGTAAGCATTCTTTTATGCTGAAATAACATCTCCCTGTGCTGCTTTTGCTAGAACGCCTTTTCAAAAAAGGATAACCTAAAATTATAGACTTATTTTTACTTTATTGAGTCCAAGATGAGAACACTTTATAAATGCTATGATGGATGAGCTACTGCTTATCTCTTGAATGGAAAATCCGTTTATGAAAATCAAAACTTCTGTAGAGTGGGGTTTTTTTTTTGTATTTTTACACACTAGTGTCAGCTCACAGAAACTGGCCTTTAGACTTTCTTAGCTTGTGAGAAAAATCCTGAATTTGAGGTACATGACAATCTGCCCAGCCTTCTTTGGGAAAGAATTCTAAAGCAGCTTCAAGCAGTGAGCTGTGCTGTTCTTCCAGGCAGGTATCTAATGATACCTCACTTTTTCAATACCTTCTTTGCCTGTGAAAAAAAAAATGCTGGGTGATATTTCACTCCTTCACTGCCTCTGTTTGCATGATCAGTATGAATGTCTGTCAGCAGGATTTTCTGCTATGCTTGCTTCTGAAGAAGGCAGGCAGATTCTTCATAATAGGCAGTTTGAATATCAACACTTTTATGCTAATTGTGATGTATGGCAGTGGGACTGATTTGTAATAAAATGTTATTTAATCTGTCTTTGTATTTTGATACTTGAACTATTTCCTTTTTATTTTCTGTATATAAAAGTTATTCTGTCTTTTTTTTTGTGGTACCAAACATAACCAATCTGTGCAACAACATAGACTGACCTCACTACAACAAGGCGAGACTGTAAATATTTCTGAGCTTCCAACAGTCGTTTTGTTGTTTGTTTTTCATAACTGTATGAGTTAGAACTGAGTAAATTAATAAAATTAGACATCTCTGTATGGGTTGTTGTGGTATATTAGTCTGTACTGGGTATTTTAAATCTACAATTCTATACCAACTGATGTTTTATTGAAAATATTAAAACAAATTCTAATCATAGGAATGGGATATTAAAGTTACTTTTCCCAATTGAAATAACATGTACTAGCTACTTTAAAATCACAGGACACCATTTTGAGCTGTTTAAAGGTTTACTGCAGCAAACATGGCATTGTCAGTTTGGTATTATTAGCTGTACCTTGCAAGTTCAGTGACCCAGCCGTACAAGAGTTTGGAATACAGCAGCAAAGAGTAGGACAGCTGCTCTGTTGATCACATTGGATTTTGCATCAAAGTACTGTCTGAACAATTGCCAGTTTTAATCTCCCCTCTCCTTGCCGTCACATGATCTGCCTCGTTAGGTTGTTAAGAAGAAACTTTCCCTGTTTCAGACTTTCCCACTGGAAGCAGCAATTTCTTCAGTATTTCTGAATAGTACGGACCAAATACCTGTCTGTTGTGATGAATCAAACTACCAAACCTCTGACCAATTTCCAGTAGTTCTTCTTGAATAGGAGTAAGGCCTTGCAATAGATTCTTAGCATTTTGGCCACCAGGATACAAACAGTGTCTAAGAAAAGTCTGGATCCGTTGCTCTGTGGAAATTAAGAAAGATTTGGAAATAGACTAGAGCAGTGTTTCTCAACTTTGACAATTTTAAGGCATGTGGACTTCAACTCCCAGAATTCCACAGCCAGCAATGCTGGCTGTGGAATTCTGGGAGTTGAAGTCCACATGCCTTAAAATTGTCAAGGTTGAGAAACACTGGACTAGAGTGTTATAATTATGGCCTCACCATTTGAGGCCCTCACTGATTAATAACTGCAGTTATATAGAAAAATTCAGGAAAGTGTAACATTTTAAAGAACTGAGATTGTACAAGACACTGATGGCAAAATAATTAACATTTATGTGTTTTAATTATATTTTATAACTCAAGAATATTTAAGTTCATCTTCTGACAGCTTGTGCATTTGGTAAACTGTTAAGATTTTTTTAGACATATTCTACATCTCAAGTAGTACATTTGATTAACACCAATCGTAACAGAAATGTAAGGACTCCATTGGAAATAAAAGGGAAATTTATCTTTTTATAAATGCCCAATATGTTGGAGACATATTCTGCTATCTTACTAAGATTTTCACTAATTTATTAAAACATTGCTTCAATTTAACAATATTTAAATCAAAATTAAAGGTACTTCAGTTAACCCATCCAAGCAGGGGCACAATTCCTAATATTGACAGTATTAAATACTTATTCTGCTCTGGGAATTTGTATTAAAAATGGTGCTCAAACTGCTGCTTCTTGGGGAAATAAACGCAAAACTGTTTTCAAATAGGTTTGAGTATTCTAGAAACTTTCTTCTATACCAAATAGTCCACAAATTGACCCTATGCTTTATGAATGGCATTCATGATTCAGAGTTTGGTGTTGAAATTCATCACTTTTTATACCCAAATAGAAAGCCTTGCATCAAGCCAAACTTGAATAACTTACCAATTAGAACCCGTACAGCATTGTCTTTATCTCCAAGGCTCCTAAGCTGGCCTTTGAGTGAAGCAGCCTTATCAGTACTGAGAGCAGGGTAACCCAACTGATGAAGTATGGCATTTACTTCCATGTGTATTTGATTGCTGATATCCACTAACACATTTTCTGATCTAACCATACAATGATAACAAGCATGTTACTATGTCAATTGAAACTTCAATGAAGAGAAAGATTCCTAAAGTACGACAATGAAGGCAAATCAGTTTGGTATACTTTCTCAAAAATATGTTTTTGACAAAACGTGAAACAAGATGGGCAACAACTAATTAATGAGAATTAACATATTTGTTCCAGTCTTGTGGAGGGAGATACTGTATGTATATAATTAATGCAAGTTTCCAAAATTCAAATTGTTGCTTCTCCAATGAACGCCCTTCAAGAAATGTCTTCATTACTCCATAAAGATGGATACATTGTACCAAGGTATTTGTGGGACTGCTGCTGCTTAACAGACTTGACCATCTGATGCATTTCTTCCCAAAGTACCTGCTAGAGTTCCACCTGTTGCAAGCGAGGAGGGACAGAGTCTTAGAAATGTTTCTGCTTTTTAACAGGAGTGTCGGCACTTTAGCATAGCCTTCCCTTCCAGAATTTGGTCTACCCCTACACTTGTCACCTTTACATCAATTATTAAAAATAGATGTTTACAGAAAGTCTTTAATTTATAAATTTGTATTATATGTTACCATACTGTGTATATTAGATTTCAGTTCTTCATATACAGAAAACATTATTTTAAACTGATGGACATTGTAAACCTCAGTTATGGTGGTGATAAATCAGAGAGAGAGTTACAATAAAGCACAGAGCATAAATGGCCAGGAGTAACACTAAACTGTTCTTTTTGTTATATAGTGAGTTTTGGTTTAATTTGTGTGCTTATTTATAGCCATTTCTATCAACCCAATAGTGGGGGAAAATCACTTTTAGCACCAAGAATGCAGCAATCTTTATAAAGGTGATTGCTTAGGGCAGGGGTAGGCAACCTTGGCTCTTTTATGACTCGTGGACTTCAACTCCCAGAATTCCTGAGCCAGCCATGCTGAGGGGAAAGGGAGAGGTTTCCAAGCTGAGCCATGCTGGCTCAGGAATTCTGGGAGTTGAAGTCCACGAGTCATAAAAGAGCCAAGGTTGCCTACCTCTGGCTTAGGGGAATAAATGTGGCTTTCCCCCAATCCCCCAAAAATGTAGCCTATTCATTCTTCTCAAATAATTGCAGGAAACAATCTTAAAATTATACACTGATCTCTTTGCAGTTAGCATAGGTTAGTAGACAAGATTTAGGTAGGCAAGGAAGCTAGTCTTTTGAGCTTAGCATTGTATACAAACCAGGCCATAATGGTTTGTTCAGCAAGCTTTGGTTTGGTACCATACTGATTCCATAAATGGTGTGAAATGGATGTTGGCTTGATCAATTCTAGTCTTGTAGGTTGCCTTGTTGACCAGCCTTACCTTTCTCTATAGAGTATCACAAGATTTTAGCTCATTATAACCTGCAAGAGACCGGGCTAGGAAAAGTTGTTCCTGTCTTCAGAAAATATTGGGATTAGAATAGCTTGCCTTATATCAAGGAGACCTTCCAGAAGAGCTTTTATTACTCTTTTCAGCCTACTGCCACATCCTGGTGAACTGAATAACTCATTTCCACATATATTGCTGCTCACTAATAAGACTGAAGCAATAATGACTAGCTGATTCACTTCTACTTGTAGAGCATGCAAACGTGCTTTGTCCATCAACATAGTCTACAAAGAAAGAATATTCATAAAATCACAAAAAGTGGAGGTTGAAAGAAATCTTGGAGATCACTAAATCCAAGCCCCTGTCCAGTGCAGGAATCCAATTTTCAGCATCCCTGACAGATGAACCTCTAGCATGTTTAAACACTTTCAGGAAAGGAGAATTCATATTGGTTGCTGCGCTTTGGGCCTTCCAAAAATGCAGGGCCCAGAACTGGATGTAATATTCTAAATGAGGTCCACCCAATTCAGAATTTATAGGGAACAATTTTGTTTTCTAATGTTGACACTATAATTCTGTTTATGCAGCCTGGGATTTTTGCTTTTTTAAAAAGATTTTTTAAAATAATTAAAAGTTTTGAAAGCTAATTCTCCCCTATTGGTTAGGATCAGATCTAGGACAGCCAATACCCTATGGAAAATGAAACTGAAGAATTTTGAAAATCTAGACATTGACTAAGTTTTTTTCCAGTAGATATCCATATAGTTATAGTCTTCCAATGTGATTGTGTCCATTAGGATTGTGTCTCTCCTGAAAGTTTTATAGTCTGGTCCAGAAGACAATATTTAGATGTTCTGTCAGGGTTGCTGATCTGTAGCATGTTTCCACAATAGCTGGTTTGTTCTTTCCTTTCCCATATATTCTTATCCAGTGCTCTTCATTGGACCATCATGCTGAAATTTCTGGATACTAGTGCATGCTTGAGCTTCCCTCATAACCATTTAGCTGTTGTGTGGACATTTCTAGCACATAAAGATTAGAGTTGTACTTTGCTGGATTAAAGATTATGCTTCCCTGTTTTTTATAATCATTCCTAGTTTTGAGAAAGAATTGTTTTAAAAAAGAACTTTTTACCTCAGGATAGTGTTCTCTTCCAGGCTCCCAGTCCAGCAAATCCATGTATGCTTGATTTAACACAGCTGTAGGACTATGAATAAATGAGACTTTTCCAGTGGACATGGGACAAGTGGAAACAGGTGGTCCTTTGGTTCCGGAGGTGGATGAAGAAGGAAGCAAATCAGAATTTGATACTTCGGTTACTGCCCTGCGTAGCCAGTCAGTTGTATAAGCTAGACTGTCTGCAATGATGGATAATTTGGAAAAGAAACAGGGTTAGTTTTTTTTGTAATTTTTCTTTCCTTTTTGGATAGATGCTGATTTTTTTATACACCCAGTGCACTCCATACATTCTCATATATTAGTAATTTTCATTTCTAATTTGTGAAGATATACAGTATTCTTAGCATTATATCTTGCCTGTATTTTTAACTAATCAAGTTTAACAATTCAATTTATCAATTTGTTTCTGATTTCAGAAAAACTAGCTTTTTCTGGTTATTCCTTACGTAATTATCTTCAGAACTACTAGAGTTTACCCAATTGACAGAAGCAAGAAACATACAAACTCACAGCAGCCTCTCAAGCTCCATAAAGTAACTTGACGAGGACATAATAGAAGATAGGACTCTAAATATCCTGTTATGTATTTCTTAAAGCGTTAATATCCTTGTTGTATTTATCTATGAGTAAACGTTGACAAAGGCTTATAGGGTTTTGCTCTGAGAGTTATTAGCTTAGAAAAATGATCTAGCAATTGTCCATTGCTCACTCTTTGATACCTGCCTGGTAGTTTGTTCAGGAGTTCCTGAAATTTTTTCCTTTCGTATTGTACAGAGTGCTCCAAGAGATGGGGTCGAAGGCTTTGTATGGTAAAGTTAGCCATATCCATTTTCATTAGGTTCAGAACTCGGAAAATCTCTCTGTAATAAGTAACAAGATCATTTAGATTGTAATTAAATCATTTTGCAAATCATTTTGCATTGTAATTAAATCACTCTTTTTAGCAATAAGGAATCAAGCTTAGATTTTAAATTGTATTCTAAATTATGTAAAGAGTATAGATAATTAGATTATAAATTGTATCCTAAATTCTATAAGTTTATATCAGAGATGGAGACTCTCTGTAATGAAGGCAGCTCATCTGGCATTCATATCCAAAAACTAATCTCTGTTTCTGTCTCAAGTATCGGCTAAAATGCTTTTCTTCTGTCATTGGATTAGAAAAGAAAATGCTGTCCCAACCGGCTGATTCATGGTGTCTATTTTCTTTTTATCAGACAAGCAGGATAAGCAAATTTTCTTTTGTCTATTGCGTGAATAATGTTGGGAATGAGCCTTAAGTTACTCTCTTAAGTCTCAGTGCGTATCACCCAATTCTCCTGGTGAAATATAAATGTGAATCTGGCTCCAAATTCCATACCTTTGATTGAAGTTGAGCAGCCAATAAATTTAAATAAATAAATAGATAAATTAAATTTAAAGTAGCCCATGTGAATCCTACATCCAGCATAGATATATTCATTTTTAGTAGCTAAACTTGGAAGCAGATTGTTTTCTTTTTTCAGAGCTGTGCCAATATAGGAAATTGAAAATTCAGGGGCCCAGGCCCACAGCTATTGTTGCATACAGCACAATAATTTAATTCCTAATCTATATCTATGCCTTGCTTTAGGAATAACAACAACAGACTGAAGGTCAATGTTTGTTTTACTTTCAGACTTTGTAAAAAGTCTGAATTGAACAAACGGGTATTTCTGTGCATCTTTCCTTACTCATAGAGATGAAAAATGGTGAACTGCAAGTTCCTTTATAAAATTAAAGTTGTAGGAAAATCGTTGTGCTACAGGTTATACAGCCTACATCAGTATAATTTTAATAAATAATGTATGATTCATATAGGATTATATTTCCTCAAAACTCAAACCTACCTGAGCAAATGAACTGGGTCTGCCATGATTCGCAGACTTTGTATTTCTTCATCTCTGATAGGTGCACAGAGCATTGCCATGGTGCCTAAGATGTATGTAGTGAGGTTGGGGATATCCAAAGCTCCATGCTCAGCTTCTTGCTTTATCAATTCGATGTCTAGTGCTTCTTCAATCTGACTTTTTAAACGTGTTTGTCGTGGCAGAAGCAAAGACAGCAGAGTCTATAAACCAGAATGGAGGACAGAAACAAATACTTTGTAAAAGCAAATGTTCAAACTGATTTTAACTATTCTAGTTCAATATATACATTACTGTAATAGAAATGTGATGGCTGAATGAATAGTACGATGTCTCTAATATTGTAATTCACCAACAGGTGGCAGTATTGATATGTTTTTTAACCTCTTCATTTTAGTTGGCAGAAAGTTGCTGTGAGAAAACTATTTCTGTGAAATGGGACCCTACAGTGAATACTCATCAGATTGAATTTTAGACAGCTGAAGGGATCTTTCCAATTGAAATTCATCACCAAGTGCAGGCTGTTTGTTGGTACGAGTAGTTGAGTGCAGGGCCAAAAACTGTAAAGATGTGAATCAGGAAGACTTATTTATGTGGCCAAGAGTTGGACAACCTATGACAGCAACAATTTTCACATAAGGTTGATGACTGAACAAAGGACAGTCAGCAGATCATTGAAAGGTAAACTTCTATCAAGCTTGATATTTTGCAATAATATGGTCAAATGTTAATTTTTTTCTTATTTCAAGATGCTGACTTAAAGATAAAAGCTTCAAGAGTTGAAATTTGCCAGCAATGGTTGTCATACTATAAGAATGAAGGTTCAGAATTTCACAGCATCCTGTCAGCTGATGAAACAAGGGCTCACCAAGAAACAAAGTATCAGTCCATGGAATATCATCACAACAGTTCAGTTAAAAAAAAATCAAAACACAGGCTTCAGCAGGAAATTTCATGTTTTTTTGTGGCAGATTCGTATCTATTTCTTTGAACTATCAGCTCAGAATGCTACACTGCAACACTCAAAATTTTGAAACAACAATTCAGCAGGATTCAAAAATACAAGGAAGAATTTTTCTGCAGCATGATAATAGAAGGCCTCATACCTCACAAGCCATCTAAAAAGCTTTGAAATTAGTTGAATCTCACTGTCTGTCCCCATCCACCATATACTCCAGTATCTAACTAGGAACTAAGTTGAATCAGGGTACCATGTAACTTTCATCTTTTCTCAAAATTTAAAGACTAACTTTGTGGGCATCTGTTTAACTCAAAAGAAGAGGCAGAAAGGATTATCGGGGCCTGGTTGAAAAGATAAACTATGAAGTTATTTTGTGACAACTTTAAGAATCTAGTCAATCATTCACAGAAGTATGATGAGAATAACGAGAATAACGATCTGTAACGAAAGAACTCATTTCAAGAATTATTTTCCTGTTTTACTAATTAAAATAGTCCTATTTAAATTAACTCCTTCATGGATTACTGTCTTGTCGTGGCGAAAGGGCTTGCGTAACTCAATGAAGCTATGAGCTATGCCGTGCAGGGCCACCCAAGACGGACAGGTCATAGCAGAGAGTTCTGACAAAATGTGATCCACTGGAGAAGGAAATGGCAACCCACTCCAGTATCTTTGCCATGAAAACCCCATGGACAGTACCAAAAGGCAAAAAGATATGACGCTGGAAGATGAGTCCCTCAGGTCGGAAGGTGTCCAATATGCTACTGGGGAAGAGCAGAGGGCTAGTACTAGTAGCGCCAGAAAGAGTGAAGTGACTGGGCCAAAGCCAAAAGAACACTCAGTTGTGGATGCATCTGGTGGTGAAAGGAAAGTCCGATGCTGTAAAGATCTTTTCTCCATAGGAACCTGGAATGTAAGATCTATGAATCAAGGTAAACTGGACGTGGTCAAACAAGAGATGAGAAGACTGAACATCGACATCTTAGGAATCAGCTAACTAAAATGGACAGGAATGGGTGAATTTAATTCAGAGGACCATCAGGTATACTACTGCGGGCAAGAATCCCTCAGAAGAAATGGAGTAGCCTTCATAGTCAATAAAAGAGTAGGAAAAACAATACTGGGATACAATCACCAAAATGACAGAATGATCTTAGTGCAAATCCAAGACAAACCATTCAATATCACAGTAGTCCAAGTCTATGCTCCAACCACTGGTGCTGAAGAGGATGAAATTGACCGGTTCTATGAAGCCCTATAGCACCTTATAGAATCAAAAATGATGTCCTTATCATCATGGGGGATTGGAATGCTAAAATAGGAAGCCAAAAAATAACTGGAATAACAGGCAAGTTTGGCCTTGGAGTACAAAATAAAGCAGGGCACAGGCTGATAGAATTTTGTCAAGAGAATACGATGTTCATAGCAAACACTCTTTTCCAACAACCCAAGAGACGGATCTACACATGGACATCACCAGACGGTCAACACAGAAATCAGATTGACCATGTACTTTGCAGCCAAAGATGGAGAAGCTCTATACAGTCAGTAAAAACAAGACCAGGAGCTGACTGTGGCTCAGATCATGAGCTTCTCGTTGCAAAAAAAATCATTTTTAAAAAACAACAACACTCACATAGTTAACTTTTTGAAAAGTCCTACAATTTACTGCTGCCTTTGGTGAAGGGGCAGCACTAACATCAAGCCTTTTAGGTAGTCCTTGTTTAACAGTTGCAAATGGTTCCAGCAAAATCGTTGCTAAGCTACATGGTCACTAAACAAACCATGTGCTTGAAAGAGAAGCTACAAAGATTGCTGGATGTTGCCATCTCATTCAGATAAAGTTCTCATGTGCAGCAATGCCAGTGTTACTCTGACTACAGGGTGCACTGTTATCAGGTACAGAAATTTTTTGGGGTATGCATTGATAAGAAAATGATTTTTACTACTTTTTATTACCATTTATACCACTGTATTTATGAACAGTTGTTATCCGATACAATTGCTAAAAACTTACGACCACAGTTGTGAAGTGAATCGCTGCAGTTATTAAGTGAATCATGTGGTCGTTAAGTGAATCTGGCTTTCCCTATTGACTTTGTTTGTTAGAAGTCGGCTGGGAAGGTTAGAAATGGTGATCACATGACCCAGGAACTGTCATGAATACATGCCAGTTGTCAAGCACCCAGATTTTGATCACTTGACCTTAGAGATACTTCAATGATCATAAATGTGAAACACGGTCTTAAGTCACTTTTTTCAGTCTATTGTAACTTCAGTTACTAAATGAATGGTTGTAAGTTGAGAACTGTCTGTACCTGTAATAGTTTTTTTTAATCACAAAAATTAGCCTGTTAGATATGAATAATGACATTCCCACTCCCCTTTATAATTTACTTCTTTGATTTCTTGAAGTAGCTTGATAGTGTGAGAATAGTCTGGTGGCACTTTGGAGAGTTGTTCTTTCAGATTATCCCAAAAAGCTTTGTGCACTGTCTCTTTCACTCTGCTTTCTAAACTGTAGTGAGATAAAAGTAGCCGTCTGTTAATATTTTTTCTACCTACAATATTGTCTGGAGGCCAAGTTTCATATAACTTTTCACCCCTAGATAAATATTCTTTTTCAGTCCAATCAATACTATAAGGAAATACTAGATCTCATTAGACAGTCCTATGAAAGATAAAGAGTAGGCACACATAAAACATATTTTGGGAACATATAACAGGGAATGTTATTATGTTCAAATTTTCCTCCAGACAGCATTAAAACAGTATTCTGGGGAATGCTGTCTGGCTGTTTGAGAGAACTATCAGTTCCAAAAGATCATAAAAAGAAAATTCTCTGTACAAGGGGAATTCTAAGCCACCATTCCAGATCGGTATGGTTTGAAAAAGAAATGGCACATGTTGAGTTCTCCAAAATATTCCATTCCAGAAATGGTAGAGTTTGCACATCCTTAAATGGTTTGTTATTATGTCTTGAGAACATGGGATGCTACACATCTTGACTGAGAGTGGTTGATAAAGGGCACCTACAGATTTATTAAAAATCAATTCTCTAAATCATGCAAATAAAAACAAGTATGTATCACCACATAATCAAAGAGCAATACAAAAATAATAATCTACAACATGAATATTTAATCAACAGTTTCAACTTTCCCACTTTCAGTCTTTATAGTAAATGTCAATCTCCTGCCTCTTAATCATAATCTTACATCTTTAATTAAAATTATTTATGAAGCCTATTTGTAATTTTTCAGTCACCAAGTGGTCTGACTACTTCTTGGTTATGCAACTCACGTTTTTTTAAAAAGTAGTCAAGACTCAGCTTAATAACATTCAGTTAACAAAAACAATTGCTTATTTGGCAATAAAGTAATCTAGACACGAACAAGAGGTTGAATGAAAATCATATTCAGCCATATTCGCTAAGAATGACAAACAGCAGACTTTTTTCCCAAGTATTATATGAAGACCTAGTTCTATTGGGAAGAGTCTAATGCTGGAAAAGATAGAAGGAAAGAGAAGAAGAGGACAATCACCTATAGGCTGCAGTTACAGTGGTAATGAATGCAGTTTTAGAAAACCTGAAAAACCAAGTTAGAGAAAAATCATCATGGAGAAAATCTCTGGAAAAGATAGAAGGAAAGAAAAGAGGACAACCACCTACAGGACTCAGTTACAAGGATGATGAATGCACTGTTAGCAAACCTGAAAAGCCAAATTAGAGAAAGATTATCATGGAGAAAATCTATCTGTATGGCTGCTAAGAGTTGACAACAACTTGATGGCACATAATCAGTTAAAAATATAGCTTTATGCAAAATTAACTGGAAACGTTTGAGAACACGGAGAAAATAAAACCTACCTGTTTGGTGATAAATTCACTTCTTGCAGTTTGAAGTCATGGTTGACAACAATTTCATGGGCTATTGTCATTTTTGAGACTTCATTCGCTGTTACCATGAGCTCTGAGATAGAATGAATTTGGGGAGAATTGGCTATATAAAAATAAAATAGAATGGTGCTTACTTGGCCCACCAAAGATATCAGGAATGTTTTTAAAGAAATGTACTATTTATAATTAAAAAAGATATCATTTTTAATGCAAACTCTGCTCATCCTTTCCACTTCTAAACAAGCAAACAAAAGTTTTTTCTTGTTTGTGGTAGACTCTGAGGAATGATAATTGTATAAGCATGAATTAAAATATTCCAATTTTAAAAATATGTTATTAGCAATTTCTACGTATTTCTAACATCACAATCATGAACCTCACAGAAAGCCATTACGAAGTTCTCCAAAGAACAACAAATTATATAAGAATGTTGCTACCACTCAGAATTGATAGTACTTGTCTAGAACCAAAGATCTGAGATTCAAGGATAGAACAAACATGTTGTTTCAAAATCCAAAACTGGACAAAACCAATTGTACAGATAGCAGGGATGGGACAATCTTTTCCTGCAAATTTTGAGAATTGCCAGAATGGGGCAGATAAATTTAATACGAATTTCTTCAAATGAAATTATTTTAATACAGAATCTGTATAATTTAACCTAGATTTATATTATTTTATATTAAGATTTCTCACCTAATGAAAATATTAAAAACGTAATAATCAGTTTGCTATGTGCTTGGACTTTGAAAAGTGAATAATTTGCACATGTACCACTTTCTGAAAAATTGCATGAAAAATAAAAACTCTCAAGACCTTATTTCATTAGATTAAATAAATAAAGTTTTTAAATAAAAAAAACTGGGCCAATTTTTTATTATTTATCTTGGAAATGTCTCTGTGCACTGCAGTCTAATCCGGGTTTATTAAAGCACTACTTGTACCACTAATTATGAATCTGAAACAATTTGAGGGGGTAGCATGCTATTTTGCCATCACTATTAATGATATTTGATTTTTCTAGCATCAGTTCAAATTACACATACAAGATGGGATATTAGGTGGACAGAGTTTAGGAATGTCTCCACCCTGGGTTTCTTCATGTTCCCTTGGTTTTCTGGAACTACAATCCGTGGTTTGAGAGTCACTGCAGTCACTTGAAGTAGTCTCTTTTGGATTAGGCATCTTGTTTCTAATGGAAAACACAGATTTTAAAATGTCATTGACTATCACATCAGTTTCTAAAGACCATGAAAAATTCATTTTTCAGTACTGAAGCCAGATTACAGAAATTATCAGAAAAAGGTATTAGAGGAAAAAAAATACGATGGCCATTTGTCTCCTAAGACAGATGACAATCGTGAACTTATGCCAAACTGAATCATTAATGGGAAACCTGGGATGGTGTCCCTGGTGGCACTTTCCTCGGCACCAAACAGGATTGCCGCCCAACCTTTTTAAAAACAAGGCAATAATGGGTTATACGCCTGTCCCAATAAAGGAGACTGTGCAAAGCAGGGCTGTGGAGTCAGAGTCGAGGAGTCGGAGGAAATTTTGGGTACCTGGAGTCGGAGTCGGAGTCGGCAAACAATGCACCTACTCCGACTCCTACTAAATTTAGATTGGAATTAAAAAAAAAGCAAGTTTAAATGTCCCAATTCACAAAAAGTTATAATTAATGACTTCTCTACTGTAAGAATAAAGACCAATGCATGCAGTGCCTCACGTAACCGCAAAATGAACACGTTAAGTGACCNATAAGGGATTAAGTAAATATGTTTTTTGCAGGACTAGAGACACTTGTATAAGTGAAGGGAATGGAGGGTCAATAGTTCAAGACTGAAGCTGTAAACCATTGGAAAAACTGCTGTCATTCAGCTAAGGCTATAAAAACTTGTAAACTCCGATTGTTAGCTTATTAATACAGAGGAGTCGGAGTCGGAACATTTATCTACCGACTCCACAGCCCTGGCAAAGCACAGGTCATTCCATTTTGGAAGAATACCTCTGGGTGGGAAGGCAATTTCAGTTCTCCCTTAAAACGTTTTCTGCCCCCAATACTCCCCTCTTGGCCACCTCTCAGACAACGTCTGGAGGCGACCGGAGGAGACGAAGAGGAAAGGGAGCCTCGGGAAGGCGCCGGGCAAGACAGGAGGAGCGCCCGTTAACAGGAGAAACCATACAGGCAGAGCGGTGCCCCCCTCACCTTCCCCGGGGAGAGCAGGGAGGGGCGAGGCAGGGGCGGGCGGCGGGTGACCAGAGGAGAGGGTGCAGCGCGGCCGGATTTTCTCGGCCGACCCTAAACAGCCAGCAGAGCTTCCAGGGCGGCCGTTGGGGCCGAAGCGATTCCAACTGAATAGAACCAACCACCTGCCCACTAAGGGGGGGGGGGGTTGCATCTGTTTGAGAAAGAATCAAGTGTAAGTGGTACGCGCTAACGGTCTTCCCGTGATAATAAGAATATAATAGTAGCGTTTCTTTTCCATCATCAGATGGAAAGGCGACGTCGATAAACTTTCTTCTCCTGCCTTTCGATTTTTCGGGAGAACGTGCCTCCCCCCCCCCGCTCCTTTTGGGGGCATAAGGGTCATTCACGCGTCGTGAACAAAGCGGAGGGCCGAACCAAACATCACAGAAATGGGAAGAAATTCCTTGTTCCAGAGATAACAGAATTTCAGTGAGGTGAAATACTTTTCAGACGTTATTTTTGTGCCATAGCTACATTAATTATCACTCCACACAAACATACATGCTGTTAGAAAGCAGTGTTTTATTGTAGCGTAATCGGAGCCCCCTTTTTCATTCCCCAGTAAGATGCTCCAAGAACGGGCTGGGAATTTCAATTGGAATATCCATTGGGAAGACAATAGCGCCATCTAATGCCAAGATCTGGCTTTAAATAGAGACTTAAAAAAAACCCCGGAGTGTTTGATTCCCCATAAGATTTCAGAGATTCCATAAATAAGTCTGGCTGTTTCCGTGCACTACAATTCTCATCTGGAAGCAGAATAAAAAAATTCTAAGGGAACTTGCCAAATTTTATAAATGTTAATAATTTTACAGGAGATGTATTGCAAATAGCTGCTGGATAATAGCCCAACATTTTCTCATTGGGGCTGCTAAGTGAGATCAGCCCACGAGGGAAGTGGGCTAAATTGAGAAGTTGAAAAAAAAAATCCCAGAAAAAGATAGTTGCAAACAGTTTCTATGCAGTAGCCAAGAAAACTGTGTTACAGTATAGTCACTAACAGCTGAGTTGGATTTTCAAATTTAATACAAATTAATACAATATATTTGGATTTTTCCAATTAACACACAATGAGTCAACAAATTAGCTTGTTAATTAGATATCAATAGGAATAGGCCCTAGAACCCATGGGAAATATTTCCTAAATGCCTTAAGCAGCTGCTAAAATTTTATGTTCCACTTAATAATTAAATAATCATTTTAAGACCAAGAAAATGAAAGGAACGTATTTAGGCTGAGTAAACATCTCTGGTGTAATTTAAAAATCGTTTTTTCCTGCAGAATCCCTTTTTTGGCTCTCGTTCTAGTTCTTCATCCCCATAGTGACTGGAGAATTCTGGGAGTCTTAAAGTTTTCCAAGGTTAGACACCTCTGTTCTACATTCAGGCTGATAATTTTTAATATGTTCTTCTTTTGCATGCTTCTTCTGTACTTAATCTGCATGGTCTTTTGTGCTAAATCTCCTGTAATCCACATGAATATTCTGTAATGGATTTCCATTTTCATGAGTGCTAGTTTAGACAGATGACACAGCCAGCCTTAGCACATTATTGTAGGAAATGATATGCAAAAATGCTATTTTCTTTAGGGAAGCAGTTATTATTATTTAGCAGCTTCTTATTTAGCTGTTAGTTAAGCGGGGTCACTAAAGTATTTTATCGCTCTCTCACAACTGGGTTATCTGCCTCTATCACCAAAATCTTCTTTTAACTATGACCATTGAAATAATGGGCTATCCACATTTTCTCAGTTTAATAAACCTCAGCTTGGCAGGTTTTGTATGGAAAAAAATATTTTATTTATTTATTTCTGTGCTGCCCATCTCATCTAAGTGATTCTGGACTGTTAAACCTCTCTGTAAAATAAATCTGTCTGTATAATGTTTGCATAAAACCTCATTCCCATTTTATAAATGCATAACATGCACAGGTATAAAAAAAATCTGTTTGGATTTCACATACATTTTGCTGTAACAGATACCCCTTTCTTCTATTTCAGGGGTGTCAAACTCGCAACGTCACATGACGTGTCGCAACGTATCGCTTGCGACTTTTTTCCCATTGCCGGCAATGGGGTGGGCACGGTTTCGGCATGACACATCCGGCCCGCAGGCTGGCAGTTTGACATCCCTGCTCTATTTATCTGTTAAATGTATGGTTTACTGCGAATGAAAAATGCTAATTTATAACATGGTAATCTCCTTAAGTATCAGTGTTCCCTTTCTATACTGCCTCACATTAGAGAAACAATCCACAGTTCTTTTTTCTCATAAAGCTAAACAGAATCATTTATCTAATCCTTATCTGAAGATTAAACAAGCTGCATTCTTGTGTATATTTGTAGAGGAGAGGAGTAATACACAGATCCTTTGGAATCCCTCATCAGTGCCAATCTGAAAGTTGTTATGGTTCTTCCCTACAATTTTCAGCCCATCCCTCAAATGGTTCAAACATTCTGCCTTTCATTTTTTCCCCCTATATGACATGCTTTCTCAAGAATGTTGAATTTCTTGTACATAGCCAGAAAAGTGTATATGTATAATGATTGATGAGATCAGTATAATGATAATCATGGACATACATCTCCAAACTGCTCTGAAATGTACAGTATATTTCACATAAACAGAGCAGATGGAACCATATTGTCACATCAATGTATAATTAGAATACAGGTAGTCATTGATTTAGAACCATTTGTTTAGTGACGGTTTGAAGTTACAATGGCACTGAAAAAAGTGACATGACCAGTTTTCACATTTACGACCATTGCATCCTTTCTATGGTCAAATGATCAAAATTTAGGTTCTTGACAACTGACACATAGTTATGATAGTTACACTGTCCTGGGGTTATGTGATCACCATTTATAACCTTCCCAGCTGGCTTCTGTCCCAATCAATGGGAGAAACCAGATTCACCTAACACGGGGGTCTTCAAACTTGGCCCTTTTATGACTTGTGGACTTCAACTCCCAGAATTCCTCAGCCAGCAACACCGGCTGAGGAATTCTGGGAGTTGAAGTCCACAAGTCATAAAAGGGCCAAGTTTGAAGAGCCCTGACCTAATACCTGCAGTGATTTGCTTAACAACTATGGAAAAAAGTCATAAAATGAGAGACAACCCACTTAACAACTGTCTTACTTAGCAACATACATTTTGGGCTCCATTATGGTCACAAATCAAGGACTGCCTTTACTCTACCTCATGCCAAAAATAATTAAGTCACTTAGTTATGTTGTCAACTGAGTGTGAGCTTGTAAAGAAGTTGACTTTGGGAGACTTTTCCATTTGTAATGAAAAAGCCAGAAAAATAACACTTTAAAGTGAATTGCTCTAATTATAAGATATTTGTACCTATATAAATTCATTTGTTTTTGTTTTTAGTCAAAGTATACAGTATATCTATCTGTGCAAACCAAGTGTGTTTCCACAATTGGCTGAATTCCAGTTAGTGTACAGGATTCTATATCAGAGCTGCAACACTCCAGCTAACTACTTGAATACAATAAAAACCAGAAAATAACTGTTCTTTGCTACCATCTAGGTATCATTTGGGGGTGCAATGACTGAGTGGTTAAAGATGCTGAGTTTGTTAGCTAGAAAACTGACAGCCCAGGTTGGAGATCCAAGTACAGTGTGACAGGTTGAACTTGTCACAGGTCCTGCCAACCTAGCAGTTTGAAAGCACGCAAATGCAAGTAGATGTTCGCTAATTGGGTCAATCAATTCCATTGTGGTTTAGTATTTCCACAGCACATTGCCCTCTCAAGACCCTGCTGATCATATTATTTTTGCAAGCTGGCTGTTGTTCTATTTATATCCCACCTTTATTATTTTTATTTTATTATTTTCACTCAAAATAATTATTTTATTATTTTCACTCAAGGCAGTGAACTTACCTAATATTCCTCCCTCCCTCTGTTTTCTTGAAGTGGGTT